AGATCAATCAGTTTTATACATAATTTGAACTGAATTTGAAATAAATCGTTATTGTAGTAAGGCTTGGCGGCTGGAAGTGTTTAGAAATGTAATGACACGATGAAGTCTCAATTAAAAGAAGAGATCATCAAACATAACCTTGTAGAGGTCATAGTCACGCGGATAAGATAAGGCGAACCTGATAGGCCAATTAACTCAAAGAATGTAGTGCAAGTAGATCCCCGGATTTTTAGATTAAGCGATTTGGTTTGTCACTGATTGACTGGACATTTTACTTACCTACGAACAACCCTTTGTGCCTAAAGGAACTTCAGGCTTCTACACTTTGATGTTGTTAAAGCTCTTTATAAAGTACAACAGTCATCACTACTATCTAAATTAAAGACATTCGGTATAACAGGTAGTGTACAAGTGGGTCTCACCCCCCTAAAGGATTGAACCCAAGTAGCGGAAAGTAGGACAGCACTTCTCATCAGGTCATTACCAGTGGTATCCTCAGGTATCAGATCGCTATTGTCCATTATTTATTTTAGTGGCCTGTCCAATTGCTTCACACTTGACGAAACTTTTTAACTGCTGAAGACGTGGATTCAATCCAAGTCTCATTCTGAACATCAGTCATATAGTACAGAAAAGTCTGGATAAAGTCCTAAGTTGGTGTGATGTCTGGTTTCGCCTTCTTAATATTAAAAAATCTGGACACACGTATTTTGGCACATTCAATACACAGATAAGCATGTATCGCAAAAGGTTGGAATTCGGACAATTAAATAGTTTGTGCGATTTAATAATGATATATTTAAAGGATCTTTCATTCATCTTAAATCTATAAAGCCCATATACTTATTGGGTTTATCAATCGTAATGTCCATTTAAAGGAATCCCAAATTACTCTTTACAAGTTATGTGTTCGACTTCCCAATCATGTACAGTCGCATGCATTTCCCAGACCGGTAGAGAATTGAGGGGGTAAAACGTCATTCTACAAGACTTCTCACGCCAAACCTATCATATTAAAATAGATGAAAATTACGAATACTGGATGCCTTATAGTTAAGACGAATTAAATTTAATCTTACCTTTTCAAAATAATGTATGATAAGACTACGGTAAATTGTGGTACGTAAAAACTTGACAAAATATGGTAATTATAACTTCGGATTCGGGTTTTTGCATTGGAGATATCGAAAACGTCAAGCGAATCAAAGTCAACTTTCTTTGTCACACGCTACGCATGCCTCTGGAATAGGTCACCATTAAGAATTCGGTCAAGTCAAACACAATCAACCATAATGCTGAGCCCATCGTCATTACGTTAAATTACGGCTCCTTAAGGTCACATGGCATGTCACGAACCAATGGTATTGATGCTAACTTTTCATACAGAATGCCTCTCCAGATCGTGTTTGCGATGTTAAGATGGTTTCGTTTTCTACCAAGTAATCCTATTATAAGCAATACCGGACAAATTGCCAAAGACAAAGCCTGCTCATGATCCTATAAAATCAATAAAGACGAGCTGAAATAGCTTCGACATAAAAGGGGGATAGCCATTTGTGTGTCAAGATACAGTTTTCAGTACTATAATTTGAAACTTTACGCAATTCTAGCGTTTCAGCTTCTTTTCGAACCATCTCCATTTATACAGTTCTTTGTCCATTCATACCATATTCACGCTTGTTTTCTTTAACCTACTAGAATGCTGTTGCTTAAAAAATACCTTAATAATAGAAAATTAGACTATGTAGTCATACCTTCACTATTTCACCACAAATGACTCTATTTCAATATGCATGGACACTATATGCTTAGCTTCTCGTACTTTATTTTTCTTACCCTATTTTTCAGCACTCTTAAGATATGCCACTGATAACGCATATGGAACGGGTTACTTTGTCCCGCGCCATCATTAATGCCTCAGATGTTCAAGAGGGATATAAAGTTACAGTTTAAAGAAGCCCTAAAATTTAGGTGGATTTACTCCCGACTATCAGTTGCACGTCGCAACGCAACGAGTCAACCTTCATATTGACGATGCTGATCTTACTAATGCTATTTGCATTTATATGTGAGAAGTATTATCCCCTATACTTTTATTGACAATGTACCTCATAAAATATCAAATTAACTTAATAACTCACCACAATGAAGAACGTATCTTCTGTAAACTGGTGTACCTCATGTAACGGACTGCTATTTGGGAGTGAATTATTATTATTTATTACTCAGTAGTTTTCAGTTTTTACCACGTTTCCACCCTACCACGTATTTTTATATCCTTACTGATTGCCTTTAAACGTATTCGATTGCCTAGAACTTCTACCTATTAGTTTGGTTTTCCTCATTTGTTTTATTTTGAAACCCATCCTCTATCATCTACTGCTATACAGTGCTGTTTCGATGTTCTGCCAACGGCGTGTCAGTTTTAACCGCCCGATAATCTTGTACGAATTGTGGTGTTAGTGTTTACATACAGAATGTGGGACATAGAGCTTTCAGGTAAGACAGTTGTAGCCTAACTATCATCTTTAAAGAGCCCAATATCAAAATATAAGGGAGGGTGGAGTGACTAACTATCAAACATTGGTGGCGAAAGAGATTATTTCAATGACTGATGTTCTTGGAACAGAACATTTATTTTATTTCTGGCTGATTGTGATTGGTGATGAGGTCACTATCCAATGATAATGAGATTGTTCTCCCATGTGTTGTGCCTCTCAACATCTCATTTTCTACTGTATGTTTAGTTCTCTGTTTTACCAAGCCGTGCCATAACATGAGATTTCAGACTCTTGAACGCAAGTCTAACGGATGTCATCCGATAACACCAATAAAGAGAGAAATAAATGGATAAAGGGTATGGTGATAAAGTCACATAGGAATTTCTACGCTTTACGTTTCCGTTAATTTTCCAAAATCAACAAACATTTATCCCACTTTGCTCCTAAGCCTTTATTGCATTTAGTAAGTTATGAACGATATGCCGTTTTTGAACAGGTTGTAGAAACTGTGAAGTCACTGCATAGCAACAACACACGAATCCATTCACTAACTCTTTGGTAGATCTTTTCCGTGACTATGTTTATTTAATAAGCCTATAAACCCATTTTTTAAATTACTGATTATTTCAGTAAAAAATGGCGTTTACTGATATACCAGGAATATATCACTATGAATTTACTGCCCTGTTTCTACAATAAATATGCCTTATAACATGTCAGCTGCGCAACTCGTCACAGCAGATCCTGGAAGATTTGTAACATTTTTATCTTTTCTATTGTCTGGCATACCACGTGTAACATATTTTTATTTGAGAATATTATTATTGTTATTATTACATAAAAGTATTACCAAATGACATGTTAAAAAAATAGTAAAAATGATTATTAGAGGAAAACTGTAGAGAAACAATGAAATCTATCACGATTCTAGACGAAATAAACATCAGTAAACTTGGTGTAGAGAGTGTTGGTCGTAGCGCGGTGTCGAATCGAGCTTGATTATGAACACCGCTACAAGACTACGTGCCAGTTAACCAATAAGATCCCCGTAGGCCAATATCAGAAGGCAGATGATGGCTGTAGTCGAGGTTTATTTGCCGGCGATCTCGTGGTATCGAAAGAATACCGAGATCGTGCCAAAGGAGTGCAAGCGTGGTTACTAGGAGTTCAAAGTCGACGGGAGAGTAATATCTGCCATTAGCACGGTTAAACAAACGAGTACGAAAAAACAATCAGTGGTACAATTGGTTATAAAAATAACTGTTTTCATTGAACCAATCGCGTTCTGTTGACAAAAGTAGGTCACTACATGGTCATGTTACAATGTTATATTTGGTGTCCACTATTAGATTAGCACATGCAAATAGGAAAAATTTTTGTTGGAATTGAGATACAGTCAATTAATTTAAAAGTATATATAAAAGTGGGTGACAGAAAGTTATCAACTTATAGTGACCACGTATCTGCCCATCAATGACTCGCGGTACAAAAACTGATACAAAAGCCGGAAACGATCTTTTGAAAAACAGTTGAACGAACACCGACATAAAAATTACGATAATTGGACGTATTCCAATTGATTTAATAACTGATGATTACTGAAATATGTTATTCAGAGTATTCAGAACTAGATATGCACATTTGGACATATTTTGTCCGAAATTTGCAATAAGTGCTCAACCAAGTGCAAAAAAACCATTAGTTATTGCATATACAAAAATATTCAAGTTGCGTCTTGAGGTTATACCAATTTTACGAACTGTAAAATAATTCACAATAGATCGAGCTCTGGTTCTGATTACTAACTTAAAGCGTACTTATTCAGATGTATTCATCAAGTTGATATACTTTTGTCAAGCTACAGGCCCTGGAGAAATTAAAAATGAACAATATCGACAAACATTTGCTTTGTGGTAAATATTGAGAGATTAGAACATTTTTTATGTCAAATGTATCTGTAAATTATGAATTTCATCTAGCTTCATGAAAATCAGTGTCTTATAGTCGTAATGAGTCAATAATTAGCTTTGGAATAATACGTTCATCGTTATTACAGTTATCTCTTCTGTTGCAGTGAAAGCAGCAATGCATCAATCTGCATCAGACCAACCATTCGATTATTCTGTCTCGTTAAAATATGTAACAATAATAATACATTTTAAAACAACAATATGCATAGTGACGCATACCAGTTTACAGGCTATATCAAACTGTCACGCATGATACAGACTAGAATGTACCAAGTTATTCCATCAGGTTGATATGTTATAAGATCCGTTGATCGTAGTAACAAGGCATACAGTGAATATACACGCGTCATATGCAAAAATAAAAGGTTGATTAGTGAAAATGAATTGGTTCATGCGGATATTTGTGAAGGTTGATATTCATTTTACTAGATCTGAAAATTAACTCTACATTATAATATTGGACCATTGAAAGGTATGGGCTCCTGTTTTGGTTCTTGTGGTCACTTGATTTTATGTTTCTAAATGTTTCATGGTTCTAAACGTACCTTCGAAATCAGTCGGTGTGAGAAAGCATCTAGAAGTTTACGGTTTACCACTGTCATTAGTAGGTTTTTGTCACACAGCTTAACTTTTCAGTGTAATACGGAAACGCGTTTACTAAGGGTTCGTGTAATTCGGGCGTTAGATCTTATGAAAAAGGATATATTCGGAGCCAGGTATGTTGTAGTTTTTTTTGACTTATTACGATTTTTAGCGACCCGTACTGCAAACTATGTATATATAAAACTCAGCGTTCGACTCTCCCCTTGTGTTCACCAGTACCAACGAAAACTGTTAAGAGATCTCTCAACCCGATTTGGAACGAAGAATTTATTTTCAGGGTAATTCAAACAGAACCAAATTCGTAAATTTCAGGTTAATCCATCAGAAAACCGTTTGGTTTTCGAGCTTTACGACGAAAATAGGATTGTAAGTTAGTACATTTCATGTGTTATCTCCACAGACGAGGGATGATTTTTTGGGTGTCGTCACAGTATTTCTGCCATATCTGGAGATTGGCACGGAGGGATCTAATTGTCGGTTGATGGCGAAGAGCTTTTTACTGCGCCCTAGAAGGTATTGTCACTTTTAGATGATCTATTGACGCAAGTATGATATTGACGTAGATTTTGATCCCTGAAATTTTTAGAGAACTTTTTGTATCTAATCGTGATACATACTTTAGAGGTGCAGTGGCTTCCTTATTCAGGGGTCAAAAAACGAAATGTCGATAAGTGTTTCTTCGTAGTATTATTGTCTGGGAAATTCACATCCTGTTTGGAAATGAGGATTTTACAAAATGATTCTTCGTTATTTTGATGTCGGCATATCTTTCAACATTTAATCGGCACATATTTCATCTCGTTCAAACAGTAATTTTAGCTGCATATATGTGTTAACATCATGTAAACGGTGCTCTCTGTCCACAAGTAAACTTTTCGGTCTACCTGGAATGTATTTCACAGTCTAATCTGATATTTAAAGGGAAGCAAGTTCACTCGTACTTCGAATTGTTCCATAGTCATATCTGTTTGCTCATCCTGATTTCGTATTTCAAGATTCCTAGGAGTCGATGAGTGATATGTAGAGTTTGAGTAAACTGACCATCATAGCAAGTATGAAAATACTTTTCTAAAATAAGTTGTTGACATATATCGCTTTCATCTGCATTGTACTATCCCATGCTCCTGAGTTTAATTATGAACCACGTGGAAAAGAGTGCCAATCATTTTAATCACTGCTCACTAGGTTCTTCACTACTTAGCAGTGGCTAGAAATTATTACTCGTTTTAAGTTTATCATGTATTCATAAATTCTAGCAATTGCTATTCTGTAAGATTAAGCAGAAATATTTACAAAGACTTAAAAGTGCACCAATATTAAGTCGTTACTTAGACAGACAAACCATATTTTACTTCTCGTAGCGAATTGTTTTGGACCAATTAATTATTTGGCTGATTTCAGACTGTTCTGAGAAATCACTTGCTATTATGATATATGTAACCATATTTGATGTATTTTTACAGTATATTTCCAGTCTTGTCATATGCAGTACTAGAAATAACGTTGGGCTTAGACTAATTATCATTGATCCATTGTTTTTTAAATCTAGTTACTGTTTCCCTTTTATACTTCTGAATCCATCGGTCATCATTCATATTTTGGCATGAAATAGTACCGCCCCTGAATGCCCTGGTACGGCCGAGAGTAAGGAGAGTCCGCTCTCCCTCTCGAAATGCTCTCACATGGCCACATGTATACAACCTCTACCAGGGAAGTTCTGCTCACTGCCTTCTCGCACCACGGGTGTTGTTTACGAAAATGAGAGCACGAAAAGCGAATGTCCGACGCTTTAACCGGATCCAAAACCAATGGTGCACATGGGTTGACTCCAGTATCCTGAGGGAACGAATTGTGTATGAACCAATCGTTGGTCACCGGCTACCATGGGACTGCATCTCCTTACGATGCTCCACTGCCTTGTGGATCAGACCCTTAGGTCGAATGCTCGGGGTGTGGCCCCCTAAGAAAACCACCTGTCTCGGTTTGGGCACCCGGGCAGTATCATAGGCCTGACGCAAATCAAATGAGATCTGTGTGGCGCATATATATTTGGTGCCTCTTTGTACTTATATCTATGTGTTAAAACAAATAATAAATAAATAATGAAATAGTACCGGGTTACATTAAAAACCTTAGGGATGATCAGTGGTTTTCTAGTGTACAAATTTTAATCGTTGAAGTGGGAATTGTTAATTGTTAACACCAAAAGTTCAGTTCTTCACTTGCGGCTTTAAATGATAGCTCAATGAACATTAACTTCCAGCAACTTTTTTTCAGAAATTTATCGTTTTAATACAATTGTTAATTTTCCTCTTTCGCTTAAAATACTTCTTGTGTTGTTTTTTTTCATGGTTCTTAGTTCTCGATCCCGTGTTCGTGGTAATCTCCACTTGTATTTGGCTTACTTACCAAGCCATTTAAATCCCCAGATTACAAGTCTTCGTCAGCTTCCTCCCCTTGTTGAATTGGTAAGTCATTTATAGACTTAAACAAACTTATTGGTACACAGTAATTTTAGCTTTTCATAAGTTTAGCCGTATTGTTTTTTATCACTTGTTGCACTCTATATTGAGTTGAATCCGTTTTTTATTTTGATATTATTTTCGTTTGATTGTTGATGTATTTTATTAAATTTGTATATGCCTAGTAATATTGTTACTACTTCTACCGCTCTGTCCTTTGTCTTGATAATGTTATTTCTCTGTGTTGATGTAATGCATGAATCTTAATAGATATACGTGTCAGGTTTTACGTTGCATATAACTGACTGTTACTAAGTACAGAGTTAGTATTAGTCAGAGTTAGCTGTTTTAAAGCATAAAGTATTGAATTTGGTTCCTATTTCATCTGCCTTATACCAAACATTTGAGTTTATTACGTACTAATACTGTAGTTGATGAAATGATACACCAGTCTTTATGCAGTTATTAAGTCTTAGTTACTAATCTTTTCAAGTAATTTTGTCTAATATTTAGTTAGTTTAGGTAGGCTACTGGTATTCTATTTTTAGTACTTTTTGTGTTATCGTTGGTACTTCTATTATTAAAACTCCTTCACTATTCATCTTTTTAATTCCACCTCTCTGTAGTGATATGGTGTGAGATTGTGTGCTGATTTGTGTCTGTACTAAGTCGTATGTTTGTTGTGACTTACTGACTCCTTAATACTTAATTCAACTGTCGAGATAATTTCTTTTGTCTGACAGCCTTATAATCGACATTAAGTAGTTCAACGAAATACAGTTGTGAAAATTTATTTCAATTTCATGCAATGTAAGTAGTCATATATTGATCTACAATAAGACAGAAATAAATCTTTGTCTAAGAAACATGTGATGGTACTAATTCGTTTCTCTATCCAGTTGTTTATTTAGCTACATGTATCGTTTACCAGGAGCTTAGTTATACTTTCTATTTAATTATATTTTTTATGTGATCATTCATCTTTTTCGATTTGTTCCCATCCTTTTAGCTGTGTGCTAACTCAGCAGGTACTTAGGTATGAACCATATTCTAAGTGTAAGTGCTAATGATACTATTTGGTTGCCGAAACCGAAGTGAAGCAGAGTTGGAACTTTTACTGGCTGAATGTCAAACACTAACCATCAAACCACCTCATCAGTAATATTGGGTGGTCTATAGATAATCGCTCACTACTGAACAGATATCAGAAAATTACTCAAACAGTCATTAATTTATCGTGTTGTACTAAAATAATACATTCTAACATACGTACGATGATTATAGTCAAGAGTTATTGTACCAATTAAAAACCCTAAAATTCTTTGTTGATATGTTAATTAGTTAAAGTTTTTGATTTAAATTTTGTTCTCATTTCAAACTGAAGAACGATTTAAAAGTATGAGGTAGTAGATAACTGTGTCTTGCTATCTTTGTACCTCTTGAAATTGTAAAACTTCTGATTTATACATAACCAAACTTATGACTTTCAAGTATCTTGGGGAAAACATTTTTCCATCGAAATCATTTACCCAACAAAGGTTTATACCCTCGATCTTAAGCCATATTGTTGTCTAAACACTAGCGGTATTACTTGTCTACTCAAGTAGATTTAAATGGCAGGGCGTTCAAAACGGTGACATATTAGTGGCTAAGTCCAAGTGCTTGACTGGTATTAGCCGTCGATCTAGTGAGATAGATCTCAATTGCTTATTTTCACGATATCATAGAATACTTTCTCATTTTGATGTGAGGAATTTCATCCACTATTGAGTACTAAACAGTCATTTATTAGATAAACCTTGTGGTTGTGTTGTAAACGTATTTACATTTATTTCGTAAGTCAGAATGCGTTTTCCTCTATCACATAATTTAGAATGCTTTTCTTAGTGTTCATAATAGTTATCGAATTTACTCATTTTTCATCAGTACTGTAAAATCTTTTATCTAATCTAATAACTGCAAGTATTATATTTCAAGACTGGTATAATGAATAAGAATTAAGCCTAATGGTTAGGCTTTAGTCCATCAGATAACTGGTGACCTACAAAGCTTATCTTCAGTTACCTTTAGCATCTAATCATATTATTTTTCTGCTAATAATTTGTATATAAGCATCATACGAAAAGTGAGTTCTTTTGATCAGTAGTCTTGTCTTTGATATTAATTCATCCGAGTGTTTGAGTCAATATTATGATCTTGTGACCAGCTATCACTCGGCTACATTGTATCATTGCGTTTATCTATCGATCCGCATTAATTTTATCAATTATAAACCTCGTTTACTTATAAAAGCCTCCTTCATAATAACTTGTTATTTTGAAGAAAAAGTATCCCCTTTAAAATTGTTGCGTATAACTGAACACCGATTACTACGACGTGCAGTGCTAACCGGTGTTAGGGATGGTTGGAAGAAAGTTAGGGGCGGCCAAACTAAAACGTTGCATCAGTGCTGGAAGTCACTAACTTCTGGTCTGAGCCATGTCGGTAGATGCAGACTGCCTGGTTGGGGTCCGCGTGACTATCGTAACCAATGGTTGGAGACTCTTGGTGACATGTTTCAGAATCGATCACAATAGCGTCGGTGTATACACTCTCTGTCTTCCTTTAAACTATGCGATTAAAATCGCTTCAAAGCTTTCTTTCTAGGAACTAATTCTATCTTCCTGTACTATATCCTTATACACAATCTTTCTTTTATATCTTAACACAATTGAATGAACTATTCTATGAATCTGGTGTTCATCTTGTTGTGCTAATGAGGTATGGCAACTTGGACCGATGCGTATATGTGCCTGGTCGTATGTTGTAGCTGATTGACTGACTGACTGATCCATTTTAAAATGACATTTTCAGATCCTACTTCTTTTTTCAACTGTTTATAAATTAACTCATTTCTATTTAAAACCCATAATTAAATTTTTACCCAATTTTGTTCATAGTCATCTGAACAACAACGTAATAGTGAAGGTCAATTATCCTCGACACCTGTATCTTCTTCACATCGTCCTAGTTTACCAACACAATCATCTAGTCCTGGTGTTGCTGAATTATCTAACACCATAAACGATGGTACTGATAACCGTGTACAACTTAGTAGAAATACTTCAATAGAGTCAGATACTGTAAGTGTTACTGAGACTGTTGTTGGACCAATGCTTTCTACATCGCTTGATGAAAATTCACTTCCACCAGGTTGGGATGAACGAGTTGATCAAAATGGACGAACATATTATATGGATCATGTTAACAAGCGTACACAATGGGATAGACCTTCTTTGTAAGCAATCTACTTATGTTTATTTTTCCCATTTAACTAATTGTTAGTTATTTTTTGCACTAACTTGATTTAATTTTAATTTATAAGGATATTAAACATTGAGAAATAAAAAAATTTCATGTAATGAGCTTATTTACTACGTAGAAATTCATGTACGTGACTTAGAGCCGCGCTTTAATTGTAAGAGCCAGTGATACTACCCAGTTACGAGTAGGAGAGTAGATGGAGCGGAGTTCGAACCTCCAACTGTAAGTCAAAAGTCTTAATCACTGAATCAACGTTCCAGCCTTCATAGAATTCCTTTTTCTGTAGTTATGTCTTATCGGTTTGGCCTGTTCAGGTGAAAAATATTCAGTCTGCATATTCATACATCGGTACATTTTCTGTATAACACATATTGAGTTCAGTATCATTTCACATGTTTTTACTTTAAAATTGCAACAGATATTATTACTATTGTCACTTCCTCACATTAACTTGATGTTGAATAACATATTCGTCTCAAGCCACTATGGATCAACCAATATACATATATCAACTTCAATAAGTTTATCTTGAATTCGCTGAAGAATTCCCATCATATTAGAACACAGGTATATTTTTGCTTACTTACACCTGTTACCCCCTATGGAGCAGAGACTGCCGACCAGCATTCTCTAACGCAATCTGTCCTGGGCCTTCCTTTCTAGTTCTATCCAATTGTTGTTCATTGTTTTCATGTCTGTCTCTAATGTGTTCTTTGATCTTGAGGATTTCAAGTGAGGTCTTGCCTTGTGAAAACACAGACATATGAACGAATAATATTCTTTTTAATCAATTCTCTCCAGATTTTACAATTATATATCCAAATTAATAATCCAAAGAATTTATCAGGTTTAAGGCAAAATACACCGTTTAAGTAATCATCAAATCATTAATTTTGGGATCATTAATATCAAGTGTTGACTTGGAATAAGTTTGTATATCAAGTGAATTTGTGAGATAAATATGGTTAACATGTGGTGAGAGAGATAATAATACAATTACAAATCAGAAATCACGTAATATATAGAATAAACGTGAATTATGTATGAATAAGTAAATAGAGGTAGATACTGAATAAATTTCTTGGGTGTTATAATAATAATAATGATGATATGGTTGAGTAAGATAAGTTTAAGCTATGAAAATGAATATGAATCGAATTATGTCAACAAATCACATGAGTGATTATTAATTAATTAGGCCAGAAGTTGACCAAGGTTGAAGAGGTAGTTGAACAAGTCAATTGATTTGTATGTGGGTTGTGATATTGCTTGGCTGCCCAGACTGAAGCAGGTCATTTTCTTAGGGGGTCACACCCGGAACCTTTGACCTAAAGGTCTAATCCATTAGGCAGTGGAGCAACGTAAAGAGATGCAGCCCCATGGTAGCCAGCAACCAACAATAGGTTCATACGCCATTTGTTTTCTTAGGATCCTGTAGCCCATGTGCACCATTGGTTTGGATTGAGGGCTTTCCAACTGCACTAGACAGATCCTCCGTATCTACCAACCCGGTTAAAGCATCAGACATTCACTTTCCGTCCTCTCAATTTCGTAAACAACAGTAATGCCGCGAGAAGACAGTGAGTAGGACTTCGCTTGCAGTGGTTGTATATGTGTGGCTATGTGAGAGCATTTAGAGAGGCAGAACTAACTCTCTCCACTCTCGACCGTACCAGTGCATTTGGAGGCAATTAGTAACATATGGTACACTGAAATAATTCCAAATGATTTATATGTTTAATGTAAAGTAAATGAAAATAATTATTTTTCTAGATAATAGTAGTTGTGTACTTTTACTATTTTGAAATTTAACTTGAAAATTTCATCTTGTTATGCAATTTGAATGTGACAACTTGAACCAGTATACACATGTCTCCATGTTCAACGTTGGATTTAATTGTTTTAGCCGTTTGTAGATTGAATTTCTTCATTCTAATCAAATTCAGAGCTTACTTCAGTTATACAGTTTCTTTTCCTTTTACTATCTTATGTAAAGACACTTGTTCATGAATTTCTTGATTGTTGGAATAAGTCGTTTTGGTAGGCACAAACTATCTAGTTGGGCTCCATACCATTATTGTAACTAATAGTTTAAAACATTGTATGGCATAACTTAGTATTGGTCGCAATTTCGTTAATCCACTGATTATTTATCTTGGAATACGTATACAACTTATTCCACATGATCATCATTTTTTCTTAAATCGTATTGTCTATATTTAACCTTTTCCTACCATCACTGATACTGTATACCACTTCTACTATCCCGACATTTGTTTCGTTATTTTCATCTCACTGTATTGATATGGTACAATAACTTGAATCGATATGCATATATACCATTTTCTACATTGTTTATAACTGACTCACTAAACTCATCCATCTCTATTCAGGATTCAATGTACTCAACTAGCATTTCATTCCACAATGGGCATATTTAGTCAATGGATGGATATTGATTATTTTTTGAAGCTATCGGAATGTATAAATTTAATGTATGTCATTATCTAGATTGAGATGAAGTAGTGAAACTTCATCAGTTGAGATGGCTGGGACACATATTACGTATGCCCATCCACCGACTGCCCCGACGTGCGATGTTTTATGGTGTAGGAGTAGGAGGGAAGAAAGCTAGGAGCGAACAGACCAAAACATGGCAGAAATCCATGAAGTCACTGACAAGTGAGTTGATTCATGTTGATAGATGTAGACTACTTGGTTGGGATCCGTGAGACTATAACAATCAATGGTTAGAGACCTTGAATGTAATATGGCTTAAAATCGTCTGCAATGGCACAGGTGCATCCACTCTTGATGTTCTCCCAAATTCTAATCTTCTGAATTCTTCATGTCCCTAATTTTTTCTCTTTCCAAATTTATTTCACTGAATTATACTCGTTGAATAATATGTCCAAACCATAATTTTTCCGATTACTGCTTATACTTTCACTACCTCTACCACTATGAGATTTGAATCTACAACTGCGTCTTTGTGCTAATGTGGTATGGCAACTCGAACTGATATACTTACGTGCATACGTAGTTCCACGTTGTTACCAACCGACTGAGATTTAGATTGAACATCATCACTTGTCTTAATGCAAACAAATAATGTAACACTAGAAGTTAAGTGTATAAACTATGAATAATGTAGTTTAATTACTAACTGATTAATTGATATTTATTTTAAGTTTCATTAATTGGTTATATCTTTTTTGATGTAATATAGTCAATTACCACATGGATGGGAGCAACGAACTGATGCAAATGGTCGTGTTTATTATGTTGATCATCAAAATCATAGAACTACTTGGTATCATCCTTTATCTGAGGTAATAATTCTCATATTGTATGTTTGTATTTGTGTACAATTAAAATTATTCATTTTCCTAATTTCAATATTTAATACTTTACTGCGTCAACACCTGAACTAAGGATAGAAAGTGAAGTAGTCGAACGCGTTGACAACTTCACTTATCTTGGAAGTCTGATCAGCCCTAATGGGTTGGTGTCTGATGAAATCTCAGCACGGATTCGAAAAGCTCGCTTGGCCTTTGCCAACTTACGTCATCTATGGCGTAGGCGAGATATCCGTCTATCAATTAAGGGACGAGTATACTGCGCGGCAGTTCGTTCCGTTCTACTATACGGCTGCGAAACATGGCCTTTAAGAGTAGAAGATATTCGTAAGTTACTAGTATTTGACCACAGGTGCCTTAGAAATATTGCGGGTATCTGCTGGGATCACCGGGTAAGTAATAGTGAGGTTAGACGCAGGGTACTAGGGAATGATGGTAAATCAGTTGATGAGGTTATGAATCTTCATCGACTGAGATGGTTGGGCCACATGTTGCGTATGCCTGAACACCGATTACCACGACGCGCAATGCTTACTGGTGTTGTGGATGGTTGGAAGAAAGTTAGGGGCGGCCAAACTAAAACGTGGCATCAGTGCTGGAAGTCACTAACTTCTGGTCTGAGCCATGTTGGTAGATGCAGACTGCCTGGTTGGGGTCCGCGTGACTATCGTAACCAATGGTTGGAGACTCTTGGTGACATGTTTCAGAATCGATCACAATGGCGTCGGTGTATACACTCTCTGTCTTCCTTTAAACTAAGAGATTAAAATCACTTCAAATCTTTCTTTCTAGGAACTAATTCTATCTTCCTGTACTATCTCCTTATACACACTCTTTCTTCTATATATTACCACCACTGAATTAACTACTTCTATGAATCCGGTGTTCATCTTGTTGTGCTAATGCGGTATGGCAACTTGGACCGATGCATATACGTGCCTGGTCCTACGTTGCAGCTGACTGACTGACTGACTTGTGTGTATATCTATTAAATTAACTACTTGTTATCTGTTTTCGAGAATAATTTATCGGCTTTATCTGTGTAGAGGTTGTGGAATCGCGAACCGATTGATGTTAGACCACGACTGAATATCTGAAAGCACTGGACAGCCGTTTCGTCCTATTGCGGGACTCCTCAGAAGTGCGCATCCACGATCCCGCTCGCGAGATTCGAACCCAGGGCCTTCAGTCTCGCGCGCGAACACAACCTACTGGACCACTGAGCTGGCATCCAATGGTGTTAATGTCTAACCTATCTACCTCTAACGGCTTTAGATGATAGCTGTTTGTAAGACTGATTTGTATTTATCAAACCTTCATAAACATGTGTACACGTCTGATTTTATTCTGTTTTTTATTCCCTTTGGATTTTTTTACTTACCATATAAAAGGGATCTCGATCGCAGACATCACCTCAACACTCTACTGCTGCTAGTCCAGTTACATTCAACGATGCGATCGAACCATCAAGTGAGGGTAGGTTTAGTAATAATAATAATAATAATAATAATAATAATAATAATAATAATCGTATCGATCATTATTATTGCTATTATTTTAACCTTTTTCAAATCGTTAAATATGTTGAGGGGAAAAAAGGACGCTTGAATTTTGAAGTGATTACTCATAAATTTCTGTTTAAAATCAGTTAGTCAGTCATGTGTAATATGGCAGCTGACATATGTCCATCGGTTCAAGTTATCAGACCAAATTAGCATAGCAAGGTAAAATTGTTTCAAGACAAATCCCCGAGTGTTGATTTTCACCCTGAGACTCGGTTCCTGTACCTTTTTCTTTAAACGCCAATGCTTTATTCACTCGACCGTTAGGTCTAATTAACGTGTTGGGCTTTTAAAACGAAAGGCGCTGGTATCGAGTTTCGGACCAAACATTAGCACTCGGTCACAGGTACATAAAGCCGACGGTTCCGGAATAGGACGAAATGCGTGTCCTGGATTTTATCGGCATCCACTATTCAACTCTGTCTAAAAATCCATAAATTTTATTTCTACTAGCTTGTGTACCAATGTTTTCATGTCGTCAGATACAACATACTTCTACTTGATATTGTTTTACATAGTGGATTTTCGTATTCGATATAGAAACGACAAACGAATTCTGATGTATATAGTTAATTTATATTTCCAGGTTGAATAGATAACTGACAAAAAATCTTAAATTTAACTTTATTTCTACATATAGTTTAATACTCGTTAACAACGTGTATCATTTATTCAGTTTTAAACGAGAGAATGAAGTAAGCAATGTACACTACTCTGTCAAGTACCATACAAGCAATCAATTATAGAATCTCCAAAGTTTGTTACAGATTCCCGCGATGAGAATTCCAGTGTTTTACCTAGCGAATTAGTACGAGCTTTCTTTTTCAGGGAAATTATCAACAAAAAAAACGTTCTGTTTATTTCCCTGAATAAGAAATATAATCAAAATTCTTCCCATCATGTTTAAAATTAAGAATATTGTCATTTTATATTCCTGTAGCATTAGTACAAAAGGGAATACTCGATAAATGGAAGCATAAAGATATATATATAATTATATGTGTACATTCTATCTAAAGAAAGATATAATATGAAACTGAAATAATAATAATGATACTAAGGCTCATTCTTTAAATGTCGAGTGTTGAGTTAGTGGATTCTCACCAACTGAGATTGTTAGGACACGTTTTACGTATGCCCATGAACTGACTACCTTGACGAGCGATGATGGCTGATGTAGAATTAGATTGAAAGAAAGCTCGGAGCAACTAAACCAAGACATAGTATTAATCTATGAAGACATTGACCATTAGACTGAATAATGTGATTAGGTTCAGACCACTTGTTTGGAGTCCATTTGGTTATAGTAATCAGTGGTTAGAGACTTTGGTCGAGATTTCTCAGAATCGTTCGCAATGGTACATGTCTATTCCTTCTTTGTTTTCTTTAAATCGTAAGTTTCTAAATTCCTTATAAATCTTTTCTTAATTATTTCAATAACTTTTATTTTCTCGAATTGCATCTTCAATGTCCAATCTTTTCTGTTGCCACTGATACCATTACTATCTCTACTACTCTGCGATTTGCCTTAACAATTTAATCTCTCTGTACTAATGGTGTATAGGAATTTGAACTGATGTACATGCTTACGAAGTTCTACATTGCATCTGACTGACACCATGAAGGGGTATGTTTCATATGAATCCAGTGGGTGTAATCAAATATATTTTACTTAACAGATCAAAATGATTATCATCGTATATAGCGTGGTATTGTCTTTTTTTCCGCAAATTGATCATCGCGTTTATCATTTCCCTTTCATTTTTGCCGATAATTCAGTAGAAGGAGAACTGGGGATGGTTAATGGTGAAGGTGATGAGACAGAAAGTAATTTTCAAGTTGAATTTGATCCACCGATTTGTCCAACTGATGAGAATCAAGAAAATCAATCACCTGATGAACAATCTGTATCAAATGAAAGAATCACAAATTCTAGATCTCAATTACCTCCTGCCGTTGGCGTCAGTAGCGGTGGTGATGGTAGATCCGCACGTTCTAATCCCCGTCATACACGACGTAGTTTAACGATATCAGAGAGATTACGTGCAAAAGGTAGTAGTGGTATTACGTCGGCGGTGGCGGGGGTGGCAACTCGTTCAAATATTAATAGTCAAAATGGTATCGATGATGTACGTGCTGCGCAGACAATGTATTTACGACGTAGGCAAGTTAGCTTTGAAGATACTTTATCTCATCTTCCAGTCAGTTTGGATACCGTAAGTCATTTATAATTATGACAAAAACGTTCATAGAATTTTCTTAAAGATGTAATATGTTTTATCAAATGCAAGTTTTTGGGATTCGTCCTTGAGAGATACTTATAATGAGTCTAGAATTTATGGATAACCGTTGAATAATTCTTAAGTGACCTTGGCGATGCCTACCTACTTACTAGGGTTAAATGAGGGCTATAAATCAGTATAAGGAATTAGGATTAGGATTTAAATTTGGACGTCAGCGTTAGGAATTAGAGTTAGGATTTTCATCATGAAATAACATAAGCTATAATGCCAAAATGCTATTTAACCATATGGACGAATCCAAAACCTGCTATTTTAAATCGGATTAGTTCGTTCACAAATTATTGTCTGGCCATTGAACCGGTTTTTAACCCACACTATTTAGTTATACTATATTCTGACACAAAGACCACAATAAAAAAACGCCTCAAACAAAATGAAGTAATAGTACATAGTTGAAAAAAAAATCAAAAATGGGATGTTTGCTTCAATGAGCGAAAATATTATTCGTTAAAAGCAATGATAGTCTTCAGTTGTTGGAATTGTTGAGTTTTATCGAGGTCACAAGCATTATGAACCTGAAGACACTTGATAGCTGTTTAGTTCCTAGTGTAGGACTCCTTAGAAGTGAACATCCATGATCCAAAAAACTGTGCGCGAATGCTTAACCAATAGATTACTGAGCCCGTATTCAATAAAACTCAACTATTCGATGATGGCTAGCTTCGAAAGTTTCTGGAGTCCTAATGGAAAAAAGCCGTAACTAGTGGAGTTCAACAGTGTCAGGTTTGGTGAAAATTCCCCTTGAAGACAATAAAAGATAGTTGCACAATATCATGGATTGACATAAGATAGACTTGTATACCATTGGATGCCGACCGAGTGGTTTAAAGGTCAAGCGTTCGCACATGAGACCGAACGTCTTGTGTGGGTGTGCAGTATTAAAAAGTCTCATATTAGAACAAAACGACTGTCCAGTGCTTCCAGGTTTTTAAAGATTGTCTTACTTAGGTCGTTTTATAGTTCCAATAAAATAATAGTCCACTTAATAAAAAACAAAGATCAATTTATTTCAATTGATGAAGTTCATCTTAACTTACCCCAAATGCCCTGGTATAGCCGAGAGTAGGGTGGGCCCGCCCTCCCTCTCGAAATGCTCTCACACGGCCACGCGTATACAACCTCTACCAGGGAAGTTCTGCTCACTGCCTTCTGGCACCACTGGTGTTGTTTACGAAAATGAGAGCACGAAAAGCGAATGTCCCGCTCTTTAACCGGATCCAAAATCAATGGTGCACATGGGCTCCAGTATCCTGAGGGAACAAATGGCGTATGAACCAATCGTTGGTCACCGACTACCATGGGATTGCATCTCCTCACGATGCTCCACTGTCTTATGGATCAGACCTTCAGGTCAAAGGCTCTGGGTGTGGTCCCCTAAGAAAACCACCTGCTTCGGTTTGGGCATCCGAGCAGTATCACAGCCCTCACACATATCAAATGAGATATGTGTGGCGCATATGTATTTGGTGCCTCCTTGTACCAATATCCGTTTTTCTCATCCCCGTCCCAAGGTCGATAATCAATCCAAGATATGACACTCGCCGAGATGATATTCGTCTTTTTAAAGAGACCCACTCATTATTCCCGTCTTTCTTGTAGGGGATTGTCAATCGCAGTTAAAATGTAAAATTTCTATTTTATTCATTCTATAAATGAAATACAAATTAATGACAAGTGTATCTATTCATTTATTTCCAATTTAAACACTGTATATTATATAAATTCTGACCGACAATTTATAACACCATGTGTGCAAAGCGATAATTTCGCTAATTGTGTACATACCCCCCACATACACACAAAAGATCAATCACATGATTGTAAACCCATTGTATAATTCGTATCTCGTTCTTCCAATATCGATCGAAATCTATCGATTGCGAGGTCATCAAGCTAAATGTTACGAATTCATTGTGATCGGATTTAGACATTTAACTTATGTGTGTATACAAGAATACTAACTGTTGAAGATAAGTTCACCATATTCGTAGCTCCTGGTAATTCAGTAATTGACTGATGTTAGAATACAACGTTCTACGGGCTTATTTACTTGGCTATGATACACACATTTGGTCAAGTGGAAGCCGGTAGGGTAGGGGCAGCTTTAGAACCGCTAAGATCTGATGAACGAAAGCCGAATGCCTTAGCCACTGAGTGATCTACCGTTCTACTATACAGGTTTACGTAATAGGCATCGAACTATTTTTTTTTTGTAATGAGAACTAAATAAGTACCCAACTGCTTATGTATAATTAGATTAGGTGAGTTGGAAAAATTAACAACTATCTAAACTACAGACATTTATCAGTAACCATACATATATTCTTCCATCCGACTGCAAATATCGAAGTAGATGGAGGGGGTTTCGATTTTGCAACCTACTTAGCAGGATTGGAAGTTGATTGCGTTAGCTATCAAATCCTCCTCATTAGTAGTTTAAAATTTGTACTACTTTACTGTTTTTACTAACCAATATCACTTGTAGTTTAGCAATTCTCAGCACTGATCAAATCTGATTGGTCGAATTTTTTGATGTGGTAGATACGTTTCACTTTATAAAGCTTATTGTTTCCTTTTGTACATACTTCTCTACTTCTGTAACCCAATAATCGATTTATTAAATCTCATATTCTTTATACATCCATTTTCATACTGCTACGGTTAGTGGGTTTTTTCTATCACATAGTCTTGACCATCTTAGGTAGAATCTAGGAACTGAACGTGATCCCATCTGACTGGCCTCAATCACTGATTGTGCCAGTCTATAAGAAAGGACAAAAGTCTTCTTGTGACAATCACAGAGATATTAGTTTGATCAATATAGTGTCTAAAATATTAGCTTCAATAATACTTCGACGTCTAACCAAAGCTCGTGAAGAGCAGACTAGAGAAAACCAGGCTGGTTTTCGACCTGGACGTGGTTGTATAGATCAGATATTCACACTACGTCAGGTCCTAGAACATAGACACACATTCAGACGCCCCACAATAGTCGTATTTCTCGACCTTAAGGCGGCATTTGACTGTGTTGATCATGAGGTTCTATGGCAGTGTTTGTTTCTGAAAGGAGTACCAAAGAAGTACATCAACCTTATAAAGGCTCTCTACTCGAACACAACTGGTCGAGTGAGAGCTTATGGTGAACTGTCATCAGAATTGATTACCTCAAGTGGCGTTCGTCAGGGCTGTCCACTCTCTCCATTCTTGTTTAACTTTGCCGTTGACGTGCTTTTAGAAATAACACTTTCCTCATCTGACTTTCCAGGAGTTGAACTTTTACCGGGAGATTCACTTGTTGACTTAGAATATGCCGATGACATAGTTCTATTTTGTGAAAACGCTGACAAAATGCAGAGTCTGCTGACCACTCTAAGCACCAATACAAGCATGTTCGGCATGCGATTCTCCCCCTCGAAATGCAAAATGTTACTTCAGGATTGGGTTGCATGGACATCTGAACTAATGATAGGGAGTGAAGTAGTTGAGCGTGTCGACCGCTTCACTTTTCTGGGAAGTCTCATCAGCCCTTGTGGTTTGGTGTGTGACGAAATCTCAGTACGAATACAAAAGGCTCGACTAGCTTTTGCCAACTTGCGTCATTTGTGGCGTAGGCGAGATATCCGTCTATCAACCAAAGGACGTGTTTACTGCGCAGCAGTTCGTTCCGTCCTACTCTATGGCAGTGAAACATGGCCAGTAAGAGTAGAGGATATTCGTAGGTTACTAGTATTTGATCATAGATGTCTTCGAAGCATTTCTCGTATATTCTGGGACCACCGAGTAAGTAATGTAGTTGTTAGGCAACGGGTACTAGGTAAGAATGGGAAATCAATTGATAAAGCAGTGAAACTTAATCAGTTGAGATGATTGAGACATGTAAATCTAGAACTGCATCTTTGTGCTAATGTGGTGTGGCAACTCGAACTGATGTACGTACGTAGTACGTAGTTCTACGTTGTTGCTGACTGACTGACCATCCTACACTTTTTCTTATTCTCACCTCTTTCTAGGTGACGAACGGAACCAATTTTTTAGCGATTAATTTAGTTTACTTAATTATAATCTATATTACTTAAATAAATCTGTAAATGAAGAAAAACATTTTTCTACAAACTTCAACCATATTCACAATCTCTGCGATATATGGGTTGCATATCTTACTGGTCACATTTGAGATTGGAATGCTAGATGATACAGGTGTATTAGTTGTTTCAAGATTCTAGGTATACTTAACTGACTAGTGCGAAATCTATATCGTAGAGTTCCCTACTGATTGAACCCATCGAATCAACTGAAGTGATATTTATTTAAACATGAAACTCACTCTACCTATAAAGAAAAAGGTTTACATTTTGTCCTATTCAAATAGATTTTTATATAATGGAAATAACTTTTTATTTACAAAAAAGAAAATGAAATAAAGGTGTGACAGTAAATGCAAAAATAAAAATGGATTTTTCTCTCTTTTTCTTTCTTGCTTATTTTTCTTTAATGATCTTATTCATAGACGTCTATGAAATTGTTCCTTATTCTAGTCAAGTTTCTTCATTTATTTATTTTCTTTTTTTTTTGATGTTTAATCCTCTTCATTGTAAATTTCAATGATAATTTTTAGGGTTATTCAATTACATTACTACAAACAATTTGAAAATTTAGATCAGAAAGGGGTTTTATGGAGATTTTTAATAATTTCAATAGTTGAGATCATGAGTCAGTTGAAGTTAAATCACTATGGAAAACCTGAAAGCACTGAACGGCCGTTTCGTTCTAGTATAGAAATCTTCAGTGGCAGTGCGCATTCGATTACCTCATGATCTCAACCATTGAAATTACTACAATATCTACAAAACCCCTTCTGATATTAATTAAAATATGCTTACTAGTGACTGGATTCAAGAGGTATATCTTGGAGTTCTAGTGAGAAGCAGTGACCAGTAAAGTTCAAGTAGGTCTGTTGTGAGATAGTAACTCACTGCTGACAATAATGGATGTATAGCTCAGTTTCGTGTATTAGTTGAAGTTAGACATTAACACCGTTGGATGCCGGTCAGCTGAATGGTCTAATGGTTAAGTGCTTGCGCGCGAGACTGATAGGTCCTAGGTTCGAATCTCGCGGGGAGCGGGATCGTGGATGCACATTGCCACTGAGGATTCCCATACTAGGACGAAACGGCCGTCCAGTGCTTCGATGTTTTCCATGGTGGTCTAGCTCCAACTGACTCACGATCTCAACCATTGAAATTTGAAAATTGTAGAATAAAATGATGTGATATATGATTGTTCGTAATCAATGGCTTAATCAGTGGTTAGAGGATCTAAATTTCAGTTACAAAATCTTTGGTTAGAACCTCCTGCTCCATCTTCTTCAATCTAGACGGCCGGTTAGTATTATTAGCCCTCAAGCACTTAGTATGTGGTTCTTACCCAAGTACCTGGTGAATAAATTAATTCCTAATTATAAATTCTATTATGTGATATGAAGAATATACGAGGTTATTGAAACAGTTCATTGTTATATGATCGACGGAATGTGGCTAGCAGTGGAAACCATGACGCACGTTTTTTCTTTCTTGGGAGTCATCAACAAATGCGCCTCCTGAATTCCACTGCTAGCCACACTTCATCTATTCTATATCGGCTTGTATTATAATGGATATATCGAGGCAATCTGCAAATGATTTATCTATTCACTTAAAATGGGGTTTGATAACTTTTTTTACTCAACTAAGGCGTTATGAGTCAATGATTGTTGTATATGTTTTAATGGTATTTTGTTATCTGAACTTTCATTATCGTTCTGGAAATCAAATTCTCAGGGCAGACTTCATAACATCGTTGAAACTATTCAGCTTAAAAAAACACATACTCACTAGAAACACCTAATTAAGATGAAAATCTTTATCATTTCCAAATTATTGTATATATTCTACCGATAGGAATAGTTTTCAAGATAAATATCGATATGGCAATCATAGTCAGTTGTAATGAACATAAAACCTGGTACAAATGTCCACTAGACCTAGTTTCCATTATCATATTAACATAATGAGATGAAATTAACAAAATGGTTAACTAATATTAATGATAAAGACTAAACACTAAAAATATAGCTCAAAAAGATGCTTAGAATTAATATTTAGAGGAAGTTCGAGAATGAATTAATCAATATCATTGTGGCCGTTTCTGAACTATATTATCTAACATCTTCAATCATTGGTTATAATAGTTTATTAAATTTCAACTAAGTAGTCTACTTACCAATATGACTCAATCCAACAGTCAATAACTTCATGAACTAATCCCACCTCTTAATCTGGTGGTTGTTATCTTTCCTCTAACTTGTACTCCAATAAATATCACTTATCAAAGTCATTGGTAGTTAAGCAATATATGTCTTAAGTACTTTATTCGGTGAAGGTTTACAAACAAATCAATCAGTTTGCCATCGATACATGAATAGTTTTAAATATATATATTGGTCCACCAGCGTGCTTAGTACCTATGTGGTTGCGCCACAGGATTGAACTGTACTATTTAGATTGTAGCGTTAAAGCCTATACGGTTTCTGGTTCTCCTGTGAAACGAGATTGAGTTGTACTGTTTGGGTTGTCATGTGAAAGTCTGGATGATGTCTGGTTCTTCTGAAAATCAATGTAAAATTATCCTGGCTCATAAGGGTATATTATATATGTGTAAAACTTGATTAGTTTCCAGTGTTTTACAACCTGTTAAATTACATATCCAAAAGATAGAGTGATATACACAAATTATCACATGTTCACTGTTTATATTACTTTTATTATTATTATTATTATTATTAACAGGAAAAATTTCGATTTTTTCTCTTCTTTCTTCTATGTTCATGCACGTTTATGGTGTTTGTGTGTCTGTGTGTGAGTGATTGAGTGAGTGTGAGTGTGAATGTATATACATCCAGGTATATATATATATTTTTTCTTCGAAAAATATCCTTCTTTTCTTATTATTCAACTTCATTTATCAGTCTGATCAAAAGTGTATATTTATTTCTATAAAGGTAAATGCTTATTATTACATAATTTTTTTTCTTTTACAGACTGTTATTATTACTTTTGTATGTCTGTATTCTTTTTTCTTTTTCCTTTTTTTTTGTTTGTTGTTGTTGTTGCTGTTGTTGCATATTTAACTAAGAATGATTTCAATATTGGTTAGTTGTATAATAGAGGAGAGCATATTTCAAAGTTGTTATCATATCTCTTACCTTTTGAACTTATTCTTAAAACACCGTTGGATGCCAACCAGCTCAGTGGTCTAATGGTTAAGCGCTCGCACGTGAGACTGATAGGTCCTAGGTTCGAATCTCGCGAAGGGAGGGGCGTTATCGTGGATGCGCACTGCTACTGAGGATTCCCACAATAGGACGAAACGGCCGTCCAGTGCTTCCAGGGTTTTCATGGTAGTCTAGCTTTAATTGACTCATGATTTCAACCAGTGACATTCTTAAAACGTTTATCTGTAAATATTTTATCATCCTAATAATCATTAAGTTCTTTTTTTGCTCAGTTGTGAAACAATTCAGTTTTTTATTCAATTGGTATGTATTTATTTATATGAACATATAAATATTGGTACAAATAAGCATCGAATACATATGTACTACATAAGTCACATGATTTGTGCATAAGCTATGATACTGCCAGGTTTTCTAGATCGAAGCAGGTGGTTTTCTTAGGAGGCCACACCCTGAACCTTCGACGTAATGGGCTAATTCACAAGACAGTGGAGTGATGTTAATAAGTAGGATGTGGCTGTATACGTGTGGCCATGTGAGAGCATTTGTAGAGGGAGAGTTAACTCTCCCCACCCTCAGCTGTACCAGGGCATTTCAGGGTGTGTGTGTGTGGGGGATGATGAGTTGTTCCAACATTTCTCTTTATACCTTTGGTTAATGCAGTCGGTTACAAATTAAATCTGGTGTGTATGCACATCGGTTTAAGCTTCCATACCTCATTAACACAAAGAATAATAAAGGTAGTAACAGTATCAGTAGTGGTAGAGAAGATCAAACATCCATGGTACTATTAAAAAAAATTATAAATTAGTTAAATAAAAACGGAAAATAGTTATGAGAAATTCAGAAGCTCAGAATTCGGGGAAATTCAAGGAACGGATGCATCTTCACCATTGAGAATGATTTTGAACAATGTATTTCAAGGTCTCTAACCTATGGTTATGATAATCACGCGGGTCCCAACCAGGTGATAATCTATATCTATTAATATGGCTTAATCCAATTGTCAATGACTTCATGAACTGATGCCATGTCTTGGTTTGTCCACCCATAGCTTTCTTCTATCCTACTCCTTCAGCAGACATTTTTCACTGAGTTAGGCGGTGGTTAGAGATACGTAACACGCGTCTCAAGCGCCTCGGTTGATGAAGATTTACTATTTCATAAATAGATTTGTTATCCTTACTTTGTACCGTATCGCTAAGTCAGTCATTTCTTACTCCGTGGTCCGAAAATACACTAGCAATGCTTCGAAAAAACGTGTGATCGAATGCCAGTAAGTAATCTAGGAATGTCTTATTCTTAATAGCCATGTTTCGCGCCCATAGAGTAGAACAGTGCAAACCATGCGCAGTAAACTTTTCCTTGTGTCGGAACATCGATAACGTACCCACGCCACAAGTGAGGCAAATTGTCAAGTGCCAATCAAGCCTTCTTATTCCTTGCCGTTATTTCGTCAGAAACTAGATCATCAGTAATGACAAGAATCCAAAAATATGTGAAGCGGTTGATGCGTTCAACTACTTCACTCCCTATCATTAACTCAGGCAATGACTACTTATCTGTATTTATTTAGTGTTTTTGTTAAATCTCGACGAGAACAGTTATGGTTATTGCGTTTTCGATTAACCTACGGTAAATCCTATTTACAAACAATTGAGGATTCTCCTATTAAGATTCAATGTCTGGAAACTTTAAAAGACTGGATATTTGTCAGACAACAGTATTTCAACGTTAGTAATATGATATGGAGATGGTAGTTTCGGGATTACTTTTAATTCCGTACAGAAGTTGAAAAAAGTTAGAAAGGAACAACTCTGTTTTTTATATTAGTATACAATGATCTTGAAGCAATCAAGTAACAGCGAATGTTATTGTGAAAATATGAATTACAAGAATCTCATCATCCTAAACTGATACATAGTAACAAAAAGCTAGACAACTTAATTTCTTTTCAGCACAAAATCATTTCTTAAACTAGGACGATAAACCTAAAATATACTGGCAAATAATCTAGAGACCTTACCCTATTAAACCGATCATGAGATATATGATACTTAGACTAGGCAGTTTGAAAATGCAATTTACAATCGTGGCATCAATGCTAATGTTATTTCATAGTGAAAATCTTAATTCTAAAACCTGATTCCTATTTCCAACACTTCTATTTTAACAATTGTACCATGACCTTGAAGTGGTGTACACCTCCCATCATGGACTCGACAGTATATTATCGTCACATATATTTTGCTTTGTATTATATATATATATTACTTCTATATGTATATATGTTAGTAAAATCCCTACCTTTTTGTTTTTTAAATTTCTTTTCCCTCTTTATAAAATAATGTTCCCTCATTGAATGTTGAAAATATCTTCAGCCTCTACCAAATGGTAAGTAATAGAATTTTATTATTGTTTAATGATTATTAAATGTATAGTATCTTGGATTTTATAATGTTTCTCTATTCATTTAATGGATAAGAGTTTTACTATCTCCTCTTGAACATGTCAGTACAGTCTATTTCAACATGTCACAGGATAAAATTGAATTTAGAGCTTGGAATGAAATCCTCAATGAAAATTACACTTGTACTCATAGTACTCATTTATGAAATAAACGAGAAAATGTCAGAAAATCTTTGATACTTGATGTATCTTGTATATTGACAAATGGATACATAATCTCCTTTTTTTGTTTTTGTTTCTTATCACATTATGTTGTTTTCGACTTTATTCGTTCTAAACAACCATTGAATGTCTTTGTCTTTGGGTATGTATGTGTTTGGATGTGAAAGTTATTCATTATTTAAGAGAGAGTATATATCTATTTTTATCAAATTTATTTACTTGAAGTTTGTGTTGATGATGTTGTTCAGAAGAACGATGAAAACTACACGATCGAAACTATTCAGTTCAGAGAACAAAACCTACCATAATGTATCTATCAGTCAGCTGCAACATAGGACCAGACACGTATATGCATCGGTCCAAGTTGCCATACCGTATTAGCACAACAAGATGAACACCGGATTCATAGAAGTAGTTAATTCAATAGTGGTAATATATAAAAGAAAGATTGCATATAAAGATATAGTACTGGAAGAAAGAATTAGTTCGTAGAAAGAAAGATATGAAATCGTTTTAATCTCATAGTTTAAAGGAAGACAGAGAGTGTATACACCGACGCCATTGTGATTGATTCTGAGCCATGTCACCAAGAGTCTATGCTTATACATGTATACTCATTTTGTTTTGAGTTTCAATATTCCTTCATACATAACATTTCATTTATTCTTATCGAACCATATTCTTAACGCTTAGCCTTTCTCATTGTTATTGTTAATACATTATTTTAACTTTTTAGTTATTCATCTTTTTCATTTCATCTTGTCGTTCTAATGTGTTATGGCAACTGATGACTAATGCACATATGTTTCTAGCTGGTTCTACGCTGATTATAACTGACTATTTGACTAACTAACTATTCAAGCCTATATACTATTCCAGTAAGGAAGAGTAACTAGTATTATGTAATTATTTTTAACTTAATCGGTTGTCGTACTTACTTACTACTCACAACCTGTCACCACTCATGGAGAGGAGCATAGGCCGCCCACTAGCATTCTTCATTCAACTCTGTCCTGGGTAATCCTTCCCGGTTGTTTCCAGTTACTATTCATCCTTTTCAAGTCTACTTCCAATTCCCGACTCATTTTGTTCTTTGGTCTTCCTCTCTTTCGTTTCTCTTCAGAATTTCACGTTAGCGCTTGCCTCGTGATGTAGTTTGATGATTTCCTCAATATGTGTCCTATCCACTTCTAATGTCTTTTCCTAACTTCCTTTTCAGTTGGAACCTGGTTTGTTCTTTCCTACAGTAGGCTGTTGCTGATCATATCCGGTCAACGGATGTTGAGTATCTTGTATAGACAATTGTTTATAAATACTTGTACCTTTTTGATGATGGTTGTAGTAGTTCTCTAAGTTAGTTGTCATAAATCTTGCTTTATTTTACATTCGACCTAATATATAAGAACATATATAACACTTATATGCGGTTAGCTTTTATGAATAAGTCATGAAATCAAGTGAATTCAGTTGCATCATGCAATAATTGATGAACTGAATAAACAAAAATAATAAAGCATATTTGGGGGGGGGGGCAAATTATTTTCATGCTATTGTGTTGGTATTAGTGATTATTGTACATATACTTTCCAATTATTCTGTAAAACATGTTGAGTTATCTATAGCAATTGTTTGTATGACTTATAAATTACTGTTATTAGCTTGGAAATTGAGAAGAATAGAATTATTGAGTAAGTCTGTCAATACATATATATGTTTCTATTTACCATAGTAAACTTACCTTATTTCGCTTTGTTCTATTTCTCTCATTCTTCTTTCCTCTCTTTTACTAGTCTTTTGGGTCGTCATTTATATGTATTAATTTTAATAGTTAAGATCATAATTCAATTGAAGCTAGACCATCATGAAAAACCCGGAAGCACTGGACGGCTTTTTCGTCCTAATATGGGAATCTTCAGTGGCGGTGCGCATCCACGATCCCCCCCGCGAGATTCGAACCTAGGACCTATCAGTTTCACGCGCGAGCACTTAACCATTAGACCACTGAGTTGGTCGGCATACAAAGGTGTTAATGTTTAACTTCAACCGATTCTCGAAATAGCGACACCGTCCATCCCTGTCATCAATGAGGTACTATCTCACAACAGACGAGGTTGAACTCCACTGGTCACTGCTTCTTAGTAGAACTCCAGGATATAATTCTTGAAGCCAGTCACTAGTGAGCTTCAAATGACTCATCTCGACTATTAACATTACTATAATATCCACAAAACCCCTTCCGATATATATATATATATATATATATATATATATATATATATCTGCCTCTCGCTTTAATTACTCTATGAGAGATGTTTGCTATTATATGGATTGCCTAGAAAATAAACTAGGAATGTCCAAACTAAGATATGAAATCCATTCGTGAAGTCATTGTTCATCAAATTAGAACGTATAAACGGATGTAGACTATTTGAATGGAGTCCGTAAGATTATTATGGACATTAGTTGAAAATATTATCTAGGATGACTTATAATTGGTCGCAATGGGACAGATGTATTCAATCAATCTCTATCTTAAACAGCGTATACTTTTTGCTTTCAAAATTCATTTTTTGACTTCTTGAACCATATTGTTTATCTTTAATCTTTTCTGCTATCTTTTGTAATGTTACTATCTCTATCCGCCGTAGAATAAAACAAATAATTCCATTTCAAATATCTTGTTATTTGCTTACACCATAAGAATTCAACTGAATTGTCTAAAAATTAAACAAAATACTAGAAGTATATCCTGGAAATCTAGTGGGAAACAGTGACTAATCGAGTTCAACCTGGTCAGTTGTGAGATAGTAACTCATTGATGACAATGGTGGATGTATCGCTGAATTTCGTGGATTAGTTAAAGTTAGACATTAACACTATTGGATGCCGGTCATCTGAATGGTCTATTGGTTAAGTGCTCGCGTGCGAGACTGATAAGTCCTGGGTTCGAATCTCGCGGGGGGGAGCGATATCATGGATGCACACTGCCACTGAGGATTCCCATACTAGGACGAAACGAGTGTCTATTGCTTCCAAGATTTCCGTGATGGTCTAGCTTTAATTGACTCATGATTTCAACCATTAAAAGAAAATTACTATAATATCCACAAAACCTCTTCTGATATACTAAAATTACTATTCAACAATCATATTGATTTTTTGCTCTCATCTAATCTAATCATTATATGGTAGGATAAATGTTTATTGAAGATCATATATATAAAATATTAGGCAGTATGATGAATTTAGTCATTATTATAACTTAATCAATAGAATCTGATCTGTAACACTAATCGATAATTTTGTACATTATCATAAATTATTTTCCTCATGTTAAATATCAACATCTTTATATTAGATTTAAGTAAATTATGTCATCTATCCTACTAGAAAAGAAAATGTAAATAAAATATAAAATAAACATTGATTTCCATAGAGATAAATTATTTTAAAAAAAAAAGAAAAAAAAAACACCAACACACATTGTGTTGTTGTTGTTGATGATGATGATGATGATGATGATGATGATGATGATTTAGCGCATAATAAGTTAGTTTGTTTTGTTTTGTTTTCGTTTACTTAAAACTATTTCATCATTTATTAATGTTAATTGATATATTACTTAATTTAGACAAATTGTTTTTTTTGTTTTTGAGTTTTGACATGATCGATTTAAAATTGATTGAATTCATTCATTGTATCTGAGGACTTACTTACTTACTTAGTTACTTATTTACTAATCTACTTATGTTATTACCCATGGGGTATGATTTACCAATTAGGGATTTTCAACTAATTAACATGACTAATGTCAGAAGGGGTTTTGTGAAGATTGTAGTAATTTCAATGATTAAGATCATGAGTCAGTTAAAGCTAGACCACCATGGAAAACCTGGAAGCACTGGACGGCCGTTTCGTCCTATTATGGGACTCATCAGTGCGCATCCACGACCTCGCCCCCTGCAAGATTCGAACCCAGGACCTACTTGTTTCGCACGCGAGCACTTAACCGCTAGACCACTGAGCTGACATCCAACGGTGTTAATGTCTAACTTCAACTAATCCACGAAATTGAGCGACACATCCACCATTGTCTTCAGTGAGTTACTATCTCACAACAGACTTGGTTGATCTCCACTGGTCACTACTTCTCACTAGAACTCCAGGATATACCACTTGAAACCAGTCACTAGTGAGCATTTGTTGATTAATGTCAGAAGGGGTTTTGTGGAGATTGTAGCTTCAACTGACTCATGATCTTAATCATTGAAATTACTACAATCTCCACAAAACCCCTTCTGACATTAATTAACATGAGTTTAGTTTTACCAAAAAAATGTTGACTGATAGCTTTATATGATATGTATAGACTGATCGATTGATTTCAGTGCATAAAATCAATAATAACATGAACATTTTTGGATCACAATGTTTATTTTAGTTCAAGAATAGAGGGTTATTATTCTGACTTGTAACTAATATTCAATTAGCCTCCTTATTAATTGATTTAATACATCATAATATTTATGTGATATTCAAAAATCTCCGTTTCATTGTTTCTACATTGAATAACTTATGTCACGTATGGCGAAGGCGAGATAACCATCTATGAATTAATGGACGAGTATACTGCGCGGCAGTTCGTTCCGTTCTACTATACGGCTGTGAAACATGGCCTTTAAGAGTAGAAAATACTCGTAAGCTACTATTATTTGACCATAGATGCATTAGAAATATTGCTGGTATCTGCTGGAATCACTGGGTAGGTAATAGTGAGGTTAGACTCAGGGTATTAGGGAATGATGATGGTAAATCAGTTGATGTGGTTGTGAATCTTCATCGACTGAGATGGTTGGGCCACATGTTGCGTATGCCTGAACACCGATTACCACGACGCGCAATGCTTACTGGTGTTGTGGATGGTTGGAAGAAAGTTAGGGGCGTCCAAACTAAAATGTGACATCAGTGCATTAAGTCACTAACTTATAGATTGAGCCATGTTGGTAGATATAGACTATTTGGTTGAAGTCCGTGCGACTGTCGTAACCAATGTTCTGAGACTTTGAGTGACATGACTCAGAATCGATTACAATGGCGTATGTGTACACACTTTCTCTCTTCCTGTACTATATCTTTATATGCAACCTTTCTTTTATATAATACTACCATTGAAGTAACTATTTCAATGAGTCTCGTGTTTATCATGTTGTGCTAATGAGGTGTGGCAATTTAGACCGATGCACATATGTGCCTGGTCCTACGTTATAACTAACTAACTGACTGACTTACATAGCTTTGTGTTGATATTTGCTATTTTCCAGTTATTAGATAGAAGGCTAATTTGTTCTATATCATTCAGAGCTAATATTTTGATCATAATTTATCAATACCATTTAATTATATTCATTAATATATATATATATATATATATATATATATATATATATATATATATATATATATATATATATATATAACTTTTGTCAGTCAAAATTACTACACTACTATGCACAAATACACATCAATTCAGGTTGTTATTATTGCATTTACAACAGTGTTGTGATTAGTATCGTAAATTTTCTAGTTCTTCAATACTTCTTGAATTCTGTCAATCAAGTTACAATATAGTCAATAATTTGAATGATTCAACATTGTCCTAGAATAAATCAAGACGTTAACTGATTGTACATAGTTGATGGAAATCTCTACTGAACCTAAGTTTTATGCTTTTCAATAGATGAATTTAAAAAAAAACACAACTCGAAAGAATCAAAGCGACATCAGTGATAATTAAAACAAAATTAAACATACAAAATATGTAAAGATGGATAGTGGCTAGCAGTGGAATCCAGTTTTACGCGCGTTTCGTCCTATTTCAGACTCATCAGCTGGATGTACATGCATCTCAGAGTTGATTTTCATTCTACGACTCGAACTCAGTACCGTTAGCTACAAGTAAAACATCAATTGACTACAAAATATGGTATTATATATTATTTATTCTAATAACATCTTCAAACACTAATGTTTCCGATTACTGCTTATACTCTTAATACCTCTATCACTACGGGATTTGAATCGACAAACACAACTCTATGCTAATGTAGTATGGCAACTCGAACTGATGTACGTACGTACGAAGTTCTACATTGTGATTGATTGACTGAACTGACTATTATCTATTCTACTTACTATTCTGCATTTTAGAATAACTTCACCTTGAAAAAAAATCAATTACTTACTTACTTACGCCTGTACCTCCCAGTGGAGCATAGGCCACCGACCAGCATTCTCCAACCCACTCTCTCCTGGACTTTCCTTTCTAGCTCTTATTTATTTATTTATTTTAACACATAGGTATTGGTACAAGGAGGCACCAAGTACATATGCGCCACACGAATCTCAATTGATTTGTGTGAGGGCTGTGATACTGCCCGGGTGCCCAAACCGAAGCAGGTGGTTTTCTTAGGGAGCCACACCCCGAGCCTTTGACCTGAAGATCTAATCCACAAGGCAGTGGGGCACCATAAGGAGATGCAGTCCCATGGTAGTCGGTGACCAACGATTGGTTCATACGCCATTTGTTTCCGCAGGATACTGGAACCCATGTGCACCATTGGTTTGGGGTCCGGTTAAAGCGCCAGACATTCGCTTTTCGTGCTCTCATTTTCGTAAACTGCATCCCCGCCACGTGAAGGCAGTGAGTAGGACTTCCCTGGCAGGGGCTATGTACGCGTGGCCATGTGAGAGCATTTCGAGAGGGAGAGCGGACTCTCCCCACTCTCGGCCATACCAGGGCATTTGGGTGCCCTTTCTAGCTCTATTCAATTGTTGTTCATTCCTCTTATATCTGTCTACATTTCTCGGCGTAATGTGTTCTTTGTTCTTTCTCTCTTTTCCTTTGGTCTTGAGGATTCCGAGTGAGGGCTTGCCTTGTGACACATTTGGATGTTTTCCTCAATGTGTGTCTTATCCAATTCTAGCGCTTCTTGCTGTTTAATAATCTTTTATTATTCCTATATGCTATAAACCAGATTTAATTTAACTGGGTTGCTTTATAAACTATTGAGAACTTTGATGTTATTGCTTTAATAAGAGTACAAAATTATATTTTATAATATCGTATGTTGATTGTTGTTGAATGTTCGAAAGTGTGTATACATGTACGGTAACAAAAGCATTTCAATTATGAAATGTTGGATGACAGAATTTTGTTTTGTTTTTTAGCTGCTGATATTGGTCTTATGTAATTTAGTAGTAATAGAAATGTGTACAAGATTATATCAGCTATATATTTTGTTTATTTGAATACTTAAATGCACTGACTTCCTAACTGCTTCCTAATCCCCTAGAACTAGTCACTTTTCTTTCTTTTGAACTTCGTTGAAAAAAAAGCAAAAGGTAATAAGTGTCTGCGCCAAAATGCCTTGGTACGGCCGAGAGTGGAGAGAGCTCTCTCTCTCTCTCCAAATGCTCTCACATGACCACCTGCATTCAACCACTGCAAGGGAAGTCCTACTCACCGCCTTCTTGCGTAGTTACTGTTGTTTACGAAATTGAGAGGACGATAATCGAATATCCGGCATTTCAACGGATTGGTGGATAATAAGGATCCACCTAGGAGAGTTGGGAAACCCTCATTCCAAACGATTGGTACACATGTTTTCCAAGATGCTGAGGGAACAAATGGTGTATGAACCGTTCGTTGGTCACCGGCCATCATGATACTGCATCTCGTGACGTTGCTCGACTGCCTTGTGGGTTAGACCTTTAGGTTGAAGGCTCCTGGTTTAACCCCCTAAGAAAACCAACTGGTTTGTTTTGGGCACCCAGGCAGTATCCCAGCCCTCCCACAAATCGATGGAATTATCCTAAAACTCATAAAACCAATAAATAGTCAATAATTATTCATTATCACAGTTGAATTCATGGGTCGATCTAAGCTAGATTACTATTGAAAATCTCGAAGAACTGAACAGTCGTGGGACTCAGTAGTGCGTATCCACAATCTCGCACGTGGGACGAAACGGTTGTCTTGTATTTCCAGGTTTTCACCAGGGGTCTAAGTTTAGACCAACTCATGAATTCATATGTGAAAATTCTATAATCTTCACAAATTCTAATGCTGATAATTATTCATTCATGTATTACAATATATCAAAATATATCTTGTGTCATTTTGGTACATTTTCTTTGTACACATTTCTTCCTTCTTTATTAGATTCAAATTGTCAATTAATTCCACCAAGTTCATCAAATTCTGATACAAATACCATTCAATTAACAGATCCATCAAGTTCAGCAATTACACTAACAAATCCTACCTCACGAATAGAATCTTCACTTAATGAACAAAGTATAGATCATGTAGATAAAAATCGTCGAATTGGTGAAATTGTTTTAGGTTTAGATATTGCACCAGGTGAAGAACCACTTCCAGAAGGTTGGGAATTAGCTAGAACTGCTAGTGGTCGAAAATTTTTCATTAATCATAATGAACATACTACTACTTGGGTAAGTTATTACTTCACTTGTAATGATTGTTACTTTAATCATCACTAGGACTAATTAGATGTAATACAACTTCTTTATTAATATTACAGTAATCTAAAAAAGGGAATTGCTGTAGGCAATACTATTTGCATATGAGATTTTACGTTCATCTATCTACTGTGTTTAGAGTCTTCAGTGAAACAAATTGTCGAGATTATAATTTATGGACGAACCAATCAGATATAAGATAACAGATCTTGGATTTTGGCGCGAAATTCATTCAGCCATTTGGTTAAATAAAATTTTGGTATTATAGCTGATGTCAGTTTTTGATGAAAGCCCGAAATCTAAATTTTAACCTTAATCATCAACTGTAAATCATGATTCAAATCCCTCACACTAGTTTATAACCCTCATTTGGTCTTAGCTATTAAGTGGTCAGTCCAGCGTCGCTCCAAGGTCGTCCATAAATTATAGTCTCATCAACTAATTAATCTAATAAGAAAATAGCATATATCAGTAGTGCATTAAACTATGTACAATACTTTGAACGTATATTCTTTTGTCTCTTTTCTTTTTTTTTCTTTGGTTTTTCATCCATTCATCATTCATTCATGATTATATATTTGGAGGGTAATTATGTTTGATTCATTAATTGTTGGTCAATATATGTGAGCTATACACAATCAGATAAAGTTGTCAGTGTTCGTGAAACAAGGATGGTTTTGGATTAGTTTTAGGTTTTGAAAAGAAAGAATGACTTTATAGAATAAGAAGGGTATAAAATAATTTCAGAACTCAATAACTAAGGGGAAAATAACCAGTGAATAGGTATCTAGCCATTGTGAGTGATTCTGAATTATTCATTAAACATCAACTATTGGTTACCAATCAGATATACTATACCTATCAATGTGAGTCAATCCGACAATCAATAACCCCATGAACTAATGCTATATCTTGGTTTGTCCAGTTGATAACTTTCTCTCAACCTACTCCGACACCAGTAAATATCGTGCTTTGAAGTAGGCTTTGGTTGTGAATATGTAAGATAAATGTTCCAACCACTTCAGTCAGTGTTCTTTCACTGCCTTATCTATTCCTCTGCATTTAACCTCAGCATCGCTCACTCGTTATTCTATAACGCATACGAATAATGCTTCAAAAATCTGCACTTCATACAAATCTACTTTCATAGATCATGCTGCTTAGTCGTAAACAAGGAGACAGAATAATACAGAGTTGATTGCTACACAGGATATTCAATATTCTGTTGCCAAGTTGTTTAATTTACTATTAAGATGTGTGCGTTTATTGAAATCGACTTTATAAATTATTTTCATTTCGGTCAATCTGTAATCGTGTCAAAGTAATACTATCATGTTCTATGTTTGTTTGTTTGTTTTTGTATAGATAAATTTACTATGATGATATTTTTAGTAAATCAGATCGATTTTTTCATTGGTTTTTTTTTGTTGTTGGAAAAATAAACTTGAATTGTTTTCCTCTGATATTATTCATCAGTAGTGTACTGATTTAAATATTTTCATTATTTCAATTTGGATCCTATGATAATAACATGTGATTAGAAAATGTATTTTTGTACACGTTATAATATAACTGCATTGTTAATATTGTTGAAAGACTCATTATTACTTACTTACTTACTTACTTACTTACTTACTTACTTACTTACTTACTTACTTACTTACTTACTTACTTACTTACTTACTTACTTACTTACTTACTTACTTACTTACTTACTTACTTACTTACTTACTTACTTACTTACTTACTTACTTACTTACTTACTTACTTACTTACTTACTTACTTACTTACTTACTTACTTACTTACTTACTTACTTACTTACTTACTTACTTACTTACTTACTTACTTACTTACTTACTTACTTACTTACTTACTTACTTACTTACTTACTTACTTACTTACTTACTTACTTACTTACTTACTTACTTACTTACTTACTTACTTACTTACTTACTTACTTACTTACTTACTTACTTACTTACTTACTTACTTACTTACTTACTTACTTACTTACTTACTTACTTACTTACTTACTTACTTACTTACTTACTTACTTACTTACTTACTTACTTACTTACTTACTTACTTACTTACTTACTTACTTACTTACTTACTTACTTACTTACTTACTTACTTACTTACTTACTTACTTACTTACTTACTTACTTACTTACTTACTTACTTACTTACTTACTTACTTACTTACTTACTTACTTACGCCTGTTACTCCCAATGGAGCATAGGCCGCCGACCAGCATTCTCCAACCCACTCTGTCCTGGGCCTTCTTTTCAAGTTCCATCCAATTCTTGTTCATTTTTCTCATATCTATCTCCATTTCCCGGCGTAATGTATTCTTTGGTCTTCCTCTCCTCCTTCGACCTTGAGGATTCCATATGAGGGCTTGTCTTGTAACGCAGTTCGGTGCTTTCCTCAATGTGTGTCCTATCCACTTCCAGCGCTTCCTCCTGATTTCTTCCTCCACTGGAATCTGATTTGTTCTCTCCCATAGTAGGTTGTTGCTTATAGTGTCCGGCCAGAGGATCTGAAGTATTTTGCGTAGACAACTGTTAATAAACACCTGTATCTTCTGGATGATGGATTTCGTAGTTTTCCAGGTTTCCGCCCCATACAGTAGAACTCTGTTGACATTTGCATTGAAAATTCTGACTTTGGTGTTGGTTGATTATTATTATTATTATTGTTATTATTATTATTATTATTACTACTACTACTACTGTGGTGTGGGTATAGAATGTATTTCAGTAGAAGGTCGTTAAGGAAAGAACAGAATGCAATCGGTATAAAAATGCATAACAGTGAAATCTGAAACAGTGGGTTGATGTTTGCGAAAGGAACGATCAAGTTTAAGATGATGGATTGATATTTTGCAAATTAACGATTTACTATGTAGTTCTCAGATTTTACTTGAGATGCTCTGTAATTTTGTGCTCAAATACTTTCGATTGTCCCCACCCGTGTTCTGTTCACTACATTTGATGTCTCTGCCAATCAGGAGAGAGGAAGAGTGCTGTTCTGTGGACGTCGTTGCGGGCCTGGAGCTAAGGTGCCAGTGGGGGCGGCCTGATGCGGAGAGGTGACGTTGGGAGGAGTGTTCTGGCGGGGCGGCTTTGGCTGTAGCGTGTGCTGTCGACGGAGAGGAGCAGTGGGACCTAATGTTGCTCGCTGGGGATTGGGTGTAGATGGCTCAGCAGGCCGCTGGAGCGCAGGCGTTGAATGTCTTAGGTCCCAGGAGGATGTCGGATGTTGATACCTCGGCAGGTCGATGGAGCTATGGAGGTCAGCGCGCCGCAGACTCGACATTTTAACGGAGATCGTGGCATAGAATGCAGGTGAGAAGAAAGTGGCACGGCGAGCAGAACCACTGCAAGAACGAATGCCTTAAAGGGGGTGGGTGAGTGTGGTGTGGGTTACTTATATCCACGAAAGTGGTATATAACAGTGGTCAGGCATAGAATGTATTATAGTAGAAGGTCGATAAGGAAAGAACGAGAACGGAACGCAATTGGTATAAAAATGCATAAACAATGTAATCTGAGACAGTGGGTTGGTGTTTGCGACAGGAACGGTCAAGTTTGAGATGATGGATTGATATTCTGCACATTAATGATTTACTATATCGTTCTCAGATTTTATTTGAGATGTTCTGCTATTTCGTGTCAAATACATTCGATTGTCCCCCACTCGTATTCTGTTCACAACACTACTACTACCAATAATAATAATAATAATGATAATAATAATAATAATAATAATAATAATATTGAAGTGCTTTCTGAAGTTTAGGATTGTCTTTAGTTTATAAATTAAAATGTTTGACTTTTAATTCATTGATCCATTCAAGACCAGATTTTTTAAATTCCTATTTTGTTTGTTTTTGTTAATTGATCAATAAATTTCACAACGTGATTTACAGGGTTCTAGTTTGAACCTGCCATTGTATCTTGAATGTGTGAGGCAACTAACTTATCTAGTTGTACATTATCATGGATCGATTGAAGTTAGATAAATAAACCTTTGAATGGAGGCTCGTTTGTTCAAAAATCAAATCCTCACTGTTAGACTTAATGTCCTGGGTTCTATCACCGGTACGGTTAAGGGTGAAGAATGTCTTCTCCTCCATTCGAAATGACATCATATAGCCATGTGTTCGTAGATGCATTCAAGGAGGTCCTGCTCACTGCTGTTGTTGTTGTTTACGAAATTGAGGTGGTGAAAAGCGAATGTTCGGTTTAGTGGGTACGGTGTATCCACTTGGTGCAGTTGGGAAGCCGTGATTCCGATCCACTGATGCACATGGGCTCCAAACTCCCTAGGGAACAAATGGAGAATGAACGTGTTGTTGGTCATCGGCTATCATGTGACCACATCTCCAAAAAGTTGCTCGACTACCTTGTGGATTAGATCTTTAAGTGTTTAGCACTCGGACAGTATTCCAGCTCACACACAAAGTTAATGGTTTGTGTGGCACGTATATATTTCTGTGCCTTTCTTCTACCAACGTTTATGTGTTTAAATAATAAATAAATCCCTGTGTTTTGTAATCGTTGTTATGCCCTTTTGAGAAGTAGTAATACCACAGTAGAACGAAATATCTCGTCCAATTTTTCTTATTGTTCAGTGATTGTTTTGATGAAACCAGTTCAATATGTAAACTATCAAATTCACTTACAGTGTATCATTATGCCTAATGAATTCTTACATCACTATTTAATTTCTCATTATTCTCAAATCTTAGGATGATCCTAGAGTTATCCGATCAAATAATCAAATAACCAATGGTTCTTTATTAACACATGAAGCACAACGACATGTAATGAAAGATTTAGGCCCATTACCGGTAAGACAAATTATCTTTTTTTTTTTTAAATTTTTACTAGCGATTTTTCTAAATCGCTCTCTCCTTTTTTAATCAATAATTACACTTTTAATAATTTCACTAATGGTCATTTTTTATATTACATAACTCTAGATAGAGATTGCATTTTAGCACTCTGGTCTCAGTCTCTTAATTTAACCGGGATATATTTTAGTTTGAGGAAACCCTAGATCAAATTATTTGCCGAACGTACATGTAATTCGGTTTGAAAATGAATCCATAAACTTGTACTTCATAAATTAAATGTATTTAGTCAACATTTATCATTGTTCCGTAGTAGTAATTCCTATTTCGCAAGCACCGATCCATATACAAAAGTGGTCTATTCCATTATACAATGTCATAATCTAGCTAGCATTTAATTGTGTTACACCTTCAAATGCTGTTCTGTTAAATAGATGTGTTTCAAAAATAGTGTCTTTGAAATGCTTTTACAACTGCCAACTTCCGTATTCAGACGATAATCATTTCAAATTGTTTTTTTACTGAAAAGCAGTGGGATTTCTGTAATTTATATTTTATCTCATGATTCGGTGGTATGTTATACACACATTAATAGTTAGTGCTTGAAGTTGTATAGTTTATATTCTAGTTACTTTTCAGTATGTAAAATTGATTTTGATTAGAGGTAGTCGACAAAAGCCCTGAAATTGTCAAGTGCTGACTAAGACAAAACCTGGGTTAAGTAGGGTTTCATGTCGATTACCGCCAATCACCACCTTATATTTCAACACAGTACACGCAACTTTAAGTCATTTAGACTAGTGACCACTTTGCAACTCGATTGATAGAATTCAATCAACATTAAGAAGGAGTTGACATATATGAACTTGGTCAGTACTCAGCGATATATATATATATATAATGTCAAAGTTTAGGAACTTACACGTCGATAAATTCAAGACACTTATTTGTAAACATCCGATTGATACTTAAATCGCAGTTGTAAAACACATAGAACGTATTCCCTAAACGATTATACCCCCCCATTTGAATTTTCTTAATAAAAAACCCATATAATTCCCATTTCAACATTAGAAGATTTTCCATATTGTCGTCATATTGTGGGACTCCTTAGTGTCAGTGCGCATCCACGACCCCGACTCGCGGGATTCAAACCCAAGACCTATCCTTCTCACACACGAGCGCTTAACCGCTAGACCACTGAGTCGGCAACCAAATGTTTTTGTGAACAATAATTATAGATAACAAAGGGGTAAAAATGAAATGAAGTAATACCGTGAGGATATGAAAGAGGGAGAGGGCGAGGATAATTTCAAATTCGAAATATTATAGTAATAGACTAAGGCTAAAATAATGATAAGTTGTACTCCTTTTGTGCGTACAGTTCTGGTTTCTACTCATGGTTGTCAAGATCTTCTACTGTTTTAAAGTGTTAGATACAAAGAAAGCTAGGTTGGATTTCGATTATTTATATAAATAACCATAAAATCAACCTGTCAATCAGTAGAATAATTAGAGTCGATTAGATGCAGAATGAAGAATGGAACCTTTCAACCTTGTAAAGATCTATACACTACGACATGTTCGTGTATCCAACACAAAAAAAAATTCTTTTTCTTGTATATAAACAATTGCTTCATTAATAAATAAATAAATAACTACAATATGTAAATAAATCTGTCTGTTTAATAAAACACAAACACACACACACTCATTGGTTTATCAAATAAATAAATAAATAAACATCATTCTACTTTATTAGATTTAACCATTTAAGATTATTCATTCTCTGTCTTATTCATATGAATTCGTTTTACATCTTGTTCATTTTAATTTATACAAACAAACAAACAAAAAAATGCATTGATTAATTTGTTGTGATATATTATGGATTCGTTTCTGGATCACCCCTCCTCTCTCTCTCTCTCGCCCCATGTCTCTTGCTATGACAACATATTTGTCCATTATTCTGTTTACAAGTGTCATTAAGTATATATATATATATATTATCATGTTTATAGGAGAATTTGTTTATTCACAGCTCATGCATGTGTTTGTTTGTATTGCACAAGTTTTAAGTGCACCTGTGTGTGTGTGTGTGTAGAGGTAGATGTTATTACTTTAGCTTGAAACCCGAACATGTTTTAGCATCTCATATATACATGACAAATATTTATTATTATTATAAGTGTTGTGGAGATTGTAGTATTTTCACTGCTGAAATCACAAACTGACCTTAGCTAAACTACCATTGAAAACTAGGAGGCTATTTCGTCCCATCACGAGACTCCTTAGTCACTTCTGTCACCCGATATGGATTGACCTTCACTAGTTACGGTGAAAGCACTACAATCTCTCTAAATTCCCTATGCTAATAACAATCATATGATTACTAAGGACTGGCTTTGACATGCAACTCCTGCAGTTCTGTAAGAAGCAGACAGTTATCTATTTTATGATGTGATTGAAGGGTTGCGCAAGATAATTGATTGATTGAAGCTAAACATGTAGATTGTTGGATGTTGGCTCAGTGGTCTAGCGGAAAAATGTTTGTGTGTGTGACCGAATAATTTGGGTCTGATTTCCACATTTAGGATCTTAGATTCGCATTCCCGCCACTGAGGTGTCCCATGCTGGGACGAAACAGCCCTCCAGTTCTTCTTGGTTTTTAATCGTGGTTTAGCTAAAATTTCAACGGCGAAATATTTATAATCCCTTTAAAAGAAATCGTATTTGTGAAAGTCCAAAGATTAAAATAAATATAATGTTTCACTCTAGTGACTGGTATTTTTTATTGTCTTCCATCAACTCAACACCTGACTTCTTTGAAATTGAGACGAAATTTCTTACATTTACAATTCTGTTATAAAATATGATAGAATTCATATTCTTTATTGTCAGTCAATCATAGTCAGTTTAGAGCCTGGCATAAATGTTGAGCCAGATCAATTTCCCAAACTACCCTTAGGAATTGGGTCTTTGTTGCCCAATGCTGCTATGTCCTTGATTTGTCCATTCACGCGAGAACTTGTCTCCATTTACGTCAAGGCCTTGACACGACAGAGTAATTGGTTTAACATTGAGGCTAGAAATGCTGGAGTCCGAACCAACGATCTTGGATACAGAGACGAAAAGTATTCTATCATCCGATTGGTTAATAGGCGAGAGAGTGAGAAGACGAGTCAACTGGAATACTACTCGATTTATTCCTGATTCCGATTAGTGTAAAAAAGATACATGAATAAATAAATGACTAACATAACCACAACCAAAAAACAACTAAAAAAATACAAACTGACCACTAGGGCAGAAAAATAGAGTACAAAAAGTTACATTTAAATTGCAATAGCTTTAAAACAGAAATGGGTATGACAAAATACATCCCTCTATTCGGTTCAATAATTAAATCTTGTACGGAGAGTGGATAAGTTTGATCCTCTAGGTGCGAACGCTTAACCTCTAGACCACTGAGACCGCAGGTCCTGGGTTCGAGTCCCGTATGGAATCGTGAATACTCACTGCCAAGTTCCACACTAGTACAAAACGGCCGTCCAATGTTTCCAGGTTTTGAGTAGTGATCTACATTGAATCTTATCTTGGTCACTTTTTTATACACTGTACCGCATATCTTTTTTTCTCCTAAATGCTATTCTCATTCATAATATGATTTCTTGGGTGTTTCCTATTTCTTCACAATATTATTATTTCGTTTTAAGCTCCCTACTTCATCATAATATAAATGAAAAAAAACTCGTTTTCATTCATTTATCAGTTTCACGGTTTTGTAAGGACTAATGACACAACATGGCTACTCAAATCAAAGTAGTTGGTATAAGATTTGAAAATACGACTTGGTAAGTAGAAATTGGACCCCTTAACTATTGAGCTATATCTTCTTCATTATCACCTTGTCAGCTAACTGATTGTGTAATCAAACATATTAACTGTGCGGAATGTAGTCAGCTGATTTGCACTCCGACTTGTTTGTTTGTTTTCAGGCCTATGAATTTATTGTTGACCTAATCTTTAAGGTTTATTCCATTACATCGCCTTGATGAGTTGTACAAATCCATATTTTCATGGAATGAATTATTCTACTTAGGTTTTATTTTGTGAGACAACTTACGATTGTTCTGAGTTATCAGTAATTGGAAAGTAGATATTTTCTAATAGAACCGGGATCTATGATCAGATTTAGAGAACTCAACTGTTTATCTCCACAACATAAATAATGAGATCCACGCGATTGAGTAGAAAAGGCAAGAATTCAGGAAAAACTTGATATAACAAGGAATCGGAATTATGACATAAATTTCATTTGTATATCAAAGATTATAAACATGGGATATCGAAACAAATCCAAATTAAGAGTAAATGTTTGAGAGGGTGAGGAAGATTTGTAGATCAAGTGAATGATCTCAGTGGTGTTTGGGTTCTTGGTACTGAATGATTATTTAATCGTGTAGATTTGATTTATCTTCTGAATAGCAAATTTCTCGAAGGCAACTTTATTTGTTAAAACTATTGTTTATTAATAAGTGTAAAACATAAATAAATAATCTGAAAGCCTTCCTAGTTATCTTTGGACACTTTCTTAACGAGAGTATAGTTTACGTAATCAGTCAGAGGTAATTGAGTATTTGATCTGGGAAAGTATATGTAATAAACTATTAACCGGAATAAATGGCTTACATGATGTTTAATAAAATGTCAAACATTCTTATTTCTGTTTATTTGGGTTAATTGTTGTTATGGAAACCCAGAATATTCTTCTAAAAAAGTTCAGATGGGTCCTGAAAACTCTGGGAAACATTTTATCAAATTAGTATTGAATAGAAGTTTCTCAGAAACATCTAGAAAGTGAAGATTCATGTATCACACCCCTGATTGAATGATTGCCTATTTTGCTACTATGGTAGGGTCCCAGAACTCTCTAGAAGCGCAAGGCCATCTGAAATGCTATAAGTACCGTCGATTTTCCGTATATAAACCAACCTTGCAGTAAAGTACTCTTTCCATGTTTCAAACCTTATCAATTATCAAAAATAATACATCATTAATTTTTTTATTATTATCAGTCAGTCAGCTACAACGTGGAACCAGACACATATATGCATCGGTCCAAGTTGCCATACATCATTAGCACAATAAGATGAACACTGGATTCATAGAAGTAGTTACTTCAATGGTAGGTACTTACTTGCTTACTTACGCCTGTTACTCCTAATGGAGCATATGCCGCCGACCAGCACTCTCCAACCCACTCTGTCCTGGGTAGTAGTATATAAAAGAAAGATTGCATATAAGGACATAGTACAAGAAGAAAGAATTAGTTCGTAGAAAGAAAGGTATAAAGCAATTTTAATTTCACAGTTTAAGGCAAGACAAAGACTGTATACACCTACACCATTCTGATCGATTCTGAGCCATGTCACCCAGAGTTTCCAACCATTGGACTCCAACAATATACGCAATGCTAAATGATTTTTTAAATTATCAAGTGAACATCATGGAGTAGTAATATTTACAAATTTAAGAAAAGTCATTCTTACCTGTACATCATGTAATTTCTTTTTCTGTTCTCTTGACTTTTCTTGTTTTGTTTTGTTTTACTCAAAAATAGCCTGGTTGGGAAGAACGTGTACATAGTAATGGTCGTATTTTCTACATTAATCATAGTAAGTTAATTTGTAATTTAAAATTGTTCTATTGAGAATACTGTCTACATATGTGTGTTTGTTTGCCAACTTGTGTATATTGTGCACAAGCTATTATTATTATGGTTAGTGTATTTCTCCGGACTATATTTACCTCCTAATTCGTACTTCAGTTACCCTGTATCTACTTACTACTGCTCGTTTTTGTGTCAAACCATTTTGATCATTGGTTTGATCAACACATCTATGTATAATGGTGTGTGAAGGTAGTCGATAAGGAAACCCTGTTTGACCAAGGTTCCATACTATTTGGAACTCGTTAGAAAAGTGTACCTGTAGTCTTAGTGGAACTTATTTTATATGTGTTTTTTTCTAAATAATTGCGATAGATGCTCGAACTACTCAATGGGAAGATCCTCGTCTAGAACGTTTAGGTGGTCCAGCTGTTCCTTATTCAAGAAATTATAAACAAAAATATGATTATTTCCGATCAAGGTTACGAGCTCCACGTGATCCACAAGCTAAATTTGAATTACGTGTTACACGAGCTGGTATATTTGAAGATTCATTCCGTCTAATTTATGGAATAAAAAGACCAGAAGTGTTAATGCATCGGTAAGTCTACATGTATATATTAATTTGTTAAAGTAGTCGGCAGAAAACCATAGATTTAAAGTTATACTTATATTTAAAGTTATCACTCATCAGAAAGGTGTATCTGCAATCTGGAACTAAACTGATTGCCGTTATTCTATTTAAACCTGTTTCATAGAGCTCTACAGTCTAAGGTGTCACTATCGAGATATTTGAACTGACATAGTTACAATTAATTGACCATTCAGTCGGTTGGTGAGCACACTATTGCTTTGAGCCTCCAAGAATTCTTCAAACAAGACTGCTGAAGAAAGCTGAATGCTGAAAAACATCTTGTTCAATCAACATCGAAAGGATGCTTCTTAGAATCATCTGGAAAAACTCAAGATTATGCATCACGACTTGATTGGCTAATTGCTTACTATTTTTAAAAAATTTGACGTATTCCAGTAGCTTTTGGGGCATTGAGGACATCGGTTAACCTACAAATAACCTATTCTTTGCTTATAAATTCACATTAAAGTAAGGTTTCGCTTCTTACTTTGCGCCTTTTTTCTACTATTCGGGGCTTAAGTGTAGAAGTGTCTGAGGCATCTAGGAAAAGAGTTGGAAATTTCACGTCCGAGTTGAAGACGTTTCGCTATCTCCAGTATATGTTTGCTTTTCGTTTTCTGTAAAATCTTCAAATATTTAAGATAGGTGACTACTATGATCGTCTGGTGAGCTCACCAATTTCGTAATTTCTTTATCTCATTTGTTTCAATGTCAGTTTTATCACAATCCATTTGTAACTGTACTTAAATTGTCATAATTCACATGATGATGATTAAGAGTTTTTTATGTTTTGAAATCCAGTCATATAGAGCCATGCCATCTCAACTTTTTTCCAGTGTAACCATAATTGCTACCTTCACATATCACAGAAAATGACGAAGAGAAAACAGATGTTCATGTCCATCTAGATGAGTTCATCAAAAACCATAAGTCATAATTAGTAGTAGAGAAGTTCTCCAGCATTCTGAAGGTCTATGATTGACCAACGAAATAAAACACAAGAAAATATCTTATAATTTTACTTTATCACCTTATCGATCGACTCCATGTGGAAAAATTTCCTGAAAAGTCCTCTCACTTCAGTATAAATGTTCATACATTTCCACTTATCTTATGCAAAATACAAGAATTTGAACATGTGAATAAATCTTACTCTTCATAAACAGATAGATGTCATTAACATATAGCCTGGTATAGATGTATTTTGACCCATATCGTCATACTATTCTAACATAAGGAAATGAAATTAACATGGTGAATTGCATAAAAGATCGAAATAATGTAGTAGCAGTGATAAGAAGAAAGAAAGAATCTTTCTGAATATGATTTAAAAAGACGTTTGTATAAATGAATACTGAGATCTAAGATGGAAATAAACTCATCTGTACCATGATAATCAATTCTAAACTATCTTATCTAAAGTCTCTAATCACTTATTGTGATTATGAAGTAAACTTTGACCAGATAGTTTGCACCTATCAGTAGTATAGTTCAGACTAAAATCAATAACTTTATAGAATAATACCACTTTTCATTTTGATTCTTTCTTAGTTTCTTCCAAACTACTATTTTACTATTAAATATCTCCTTGTCAAATTAATACATAATCTAATTACCTTAATTGTAGAAGATTCAATACATCATGTATCAATTTAGCACCATGATGAAGTACCTTTATGTCTAACCACACCATTTATCATTCAATTGTTCCACTCAACATGAGCAATACTTCAATGGTATTGACAAAAGTACTTACTTGTTAACTATGTACTCATTGCCTGGATTCTATTATTTTCTAAAATTATTTTGCTTTTTGGCTTTTTTAGATTATGGATTGAATTTATTGGTGAAAAAGGTTTAGATTATGGTGGTGTACAACGTGAATGGTTCTTTTTATTATCACGTGAAATGTTCAATCCTTATTATGGTCTATTCGAATATTCAGCCGCGTATGTCTTATATATATATGCGCATATCTATACGAATATATACATTAATCATAGTTACTCAATTGCCTTTGTTCGTTAGTTTATTGAAAAGAAGTTTTGATACATATTATACATCAATATGTACTTTCTTAGTTAAGAGTATTAGTACTAGTTATATTTCATTATTGTTGATTTCTCGAAATCGATTAGTACTTACGACATTTGACTTTTGGTTACTTACTGACAATTCCAAATCGATCTATACATATTTCAGTTTATGTAATCAGGTAATTTCGATTGTTTTTAATGTTAAACATGAAGTCTTGGAGTTATCCAATTCTGTTTTATATTAGACCTCTAGATCAAAGACTCGAGGTATGAACGTCTAAGAAAACTAGCTACTTCGGTTTGGCACCTGAGTGATATCCCGCCCCTCACACAAATCGAATGGTAAAGGGTGATGCATATATATTTATTGCTTCCTTGTACCAATGTTTAAGTGTTTTTAAATAATGAATAACTGATAAACTTAAATTATGATCAAAAATTGGTCTCTGAAGAGTTACGCCTTCATTATCTGGAATTGAATTAGCCTGTTTGATACAGGTATAGGCAATTATCATCTAACTGTCCTGTTAGTATGAGAGGGAATGGACTAGATAACATGTTTAATGGTAACCAAACCAATACTTGTTTTCAGTTAGTTCAATTACTGTCCTACTATCCCAATTTATGTCGATTATTTATGTGCACCTCTTAATTGAAACTTCCCCAGATGAATCATTTAATTCTATAATTAGGAAAAGCTTTGTGCGACCATCTTTAATCAAATATTGTGGAGCGAATTCATTTTTAGTTTAGTAATGTTTCATGTCTTTTTTTCTGCGTTATCACTCATTATTTACCAACTGTTTTTCATATGATCAAATTTACACTGTGAGTTATACTAATCCTACTGCTACTACTACTACTACCACCACCACCGATACCACTAATTCTGATTTGTTATAATATTTAGGATGGGATTGTGGAATTTTAATGAAGTCATAAACGGACCTAAGTTATAAAGCCATTGAATATTCGGACGGCCATTTCGCTCTAATGTGGAATTCACGAGCAGTCTGTATCCACGATTCTACAACCTTGAATTGAACCCAGGACCTTCGGAACTTCTGGACCACTGTACACGATTGAACCCTGGCCCAGTGATCAATCCGTTAAGTGTTATCGCGTGAGACGGAAGGTCCTTGATTCAATTACAGGTTGAGGGGTTGCGGATGCACACTCCTGAGGGGTCCCGTGTTAAGAAGAAACAGATATCCAGGTTATCAATCGTTATCTAACTCCATGATATCAATCGAGAGTTATTTAACCTGTTTGTCTACGTTTATACATCGTTTATGTTGATGTATATATTTATTCTTCGTCTCATTTACTGCGGTACAGGTTCGTGTACTTGGCTCTTATCCATATTTTAAATATGATGCTACGTTGTTGTATAGACTAAAGTAGTTCGAGCGGAATTCGAACCCTAGATTTGGTAGCTGAAAATTAAACCCCTTAATCACAACATGATTGCTCCATTGAAATGCATAGTTGTGACATTCTTGAACTTATGTACCAGCTCATAAGTTTTTTAAAGGCTCACCGACTGGCCGATCTATTTGTATAAATTGCAATTTTGAGCGAATGCTTATTGGTTAAGGTGTTCGATTTTCAGACCCTTTTCCACCTAGTGTGGTTTAGGCCACCAGGTATTATCATTAGTCTTGGAATGTGGTTCATACCAAAGTTTATTATTTATTATTTACTTATTTTAACACATAGATATTGGTACAAGGAGGCACCGACTATATATTCGCCACACAGATCTCATTGGATATGTGTGAGGGCTATGATACTGCCCGGGTGCCCGAACCGAAACAGGTGGTTTTCTTAGGAGGCCACACCCCGAGCCTTCGACTTAAAGGTCTGACCCACAAGGCAGTGAAGCATCGTAAGGAGATGCAGTCCCATGGTAGCCGGTGACCAACGATTGGTTCATACGCCATTTGTTCCCTCAGGATACTGGAGCCAGCCCATGTGCACCATTGGTTTTGGATCCGGTTAAAGCGCCGGACATTCGCTTTTCGTCCTCTCGATTTCGTAAACAACACCCGTGGTGAGAGAAGGCAGTGAGTAGGATTTCCCTGGCAGTGGCTATATACGCGTGGCCATGTGAGAGCATTTCGAGAGGGAGAACGGACTCTTTCCACTCTCGGCCTTACCAGGGCATGTGGGGGCTCATATCAAAGTACCTTGTAGGCAACAATAAATCGAAACCCTTATTCATTCCGTCTCAGGATCTTTGGCGCTGTTAGAGGTATGCAGACGCTTGTAAATCCTTGATTACCCACACTGTGGTAGTAGCAACGTAGGAGGGTAACCTCAAAACCCATTGAGAAAATTCCTGAGGCCCGTCATACATGTGCTTTCTGTGAGAAGTTTGTAACGTAATAGCTCCATACTTTAAAAAAGAAAACCTTACTCTTGATGACATAAATCATGGTAATATTTTCAGGGTTGAACTTTTTTCTAGTCTCTTCCTTTCATTTTGAGAATATAGCATCACTGCAGATGCTAGTTCCCTGAAGGAAATATCTTACAGCTATCACATTTCAATACAGTCAACAGTCAAACTTCATCCTTGAACCATAATTTTGTTACATACAGTTTTACTGTTTTACAACCAAACCTCTCGGGTATGGTAGAATCTAAAGAAACAAATTTTCCAATCAATATAGCTCGATCATATCATTATTATTTAAGAGTCTAAACACTTTATTGAGAGGTCGTAGCTACAATCCCATTCATATTAACTAAGTATATCACACTTTTATAACGCATGTTTAGATATATATATTACATTAAGTGAATGTATTTATCGGATTTTAAACATGTTTATGCTTTCCTCATTAATTCAATGATAAAACAAACTGTATCAATGTTAAAAGTATGGACTACAATACAATTAACTCCACATTGCTTATTTCACTTTTTCTTTCCTTGTTAATATGCGTATATAGAAAATTAATTATAATGATATATGTTGATTCATTCTAGTTACTTAGTTGATTTGTTTCAATAAAGTTAGTTCATGATGTACCTTATTATAAGAAATCTTACTTTTGAACATACATATTTATATGTTCATGTATTTTTCTATTCTTCTATTATTTTCTCTCCCCTATCCCTATCCTGTTCCCCCCCCCCTTTTTTTATATATTATTATCTATAAGTATACTTGTTTTCGTTACATAAATTTATCATACAGTCCAGTGTAAACACCCTTGCTATGAACTAATAACGTTGTTACTACCACTTCTACTACTACCACCACCACCACTACCACTAACACTACCAGTACTACTACTACTACTACTACTACTACTACTACTACTACTACTACTACTACTACTACTACTCGTACTATCAGTTGTAGTTGTTGAAGAAAAAGTTAAAATCTATTGTGTATATATTAGTCTTTTGTGTTTATCAATCTAATGGAATTTCTTTTATATATTTAAATATTATTACTATGGTGAAAAGAACAAATATAAACTAAATAAATCGATATTTGTTATCATCTATGATTCATTCAATTTATAATTTGCTTAAATTTTTCGAATAAAAAAAAATATGACGTACTTTTATTCTCCTTTTTTCAATGTTTAACAAAAGTGTACTATCTAATATTTTTATATACAGGATTAATTTGATGAATTAGTTGATGTTAAACATTAACACAGTTGAATACCGGTTAACTCAATAGTCTAGTGATTAAGTGTTTGTGTGCTATAGACTGTTAGATCCTGGGTTCGAATCTCACGATGTGAGATTGTAGATGCGCGCGATATCACTGAGGTGTCTTATAATAGGACGAAACAGCCATTCAGTGCTTTCAAATTTGTCATGGTGGTTTAACTTCAATTGACTCGTGATTTCAACTATTGAATTTTTCCTATTCACTTGGTGTTTTATTCTTTGGCAAAGACTGATCTTCATCTTTATGTTGGTGCTCTAGAAATAATGAACTGTGTTCATGAGCTAATACAGGCGGTTAAGTGGAAATGTGACGAATCATCTGATTTTTGATCAATTAGATGAGAGAAATAAGAACATAATTGTTGTCGTGGAAAAAAAATTTCCTTTATGTGCCTAACTGAATTCTTGCTGGGAGGATCCATTAGGTCTAGAATAAGCGGACTAGGATGAAAGTTATGAACTGTTTCGTAACCAGTGTGCAGTGGTTGATTCCAAGATTGCTTGTCATACGAGGGTGATAAAAGCATATTTTCTATGACAAATTGATTTGAGTGCTTGATATTCATTCAGTGTTTGCAAGTCATGGGGCTATAACCAGAGGTGATCTCATATACACTTGTGCTTATACTATAGAATATATGGATCTTGGTTTATGCACTCTATATATGTATGTAGTATATACTTGCTAGCGGAAGCGTCTATGCTTGTCTGTTTGCTATAGAGTGTACAGGCTTCGGTTCATGCATTATGTACGCATGTAACGCATACCTGTAACCTCCCGCATCTATCCCGACGTATGTGTTGTAGGATGTAGGTTTCCTTGTTATATATAAGGATTGTAATTGCAACTCGAATAACAAAAGAGAACACCTTTTACTCCAAAGCAATCATTATTTTTTATTAATATAGGAGATTTGTGTAGATAATTAAATTTTTTTTGTAGTTTGCATCACGGACTGATCTTAGATAACCGTTACAAAGCAGGAAGCGCTAAATGAATACTTCTGGGAAGTCCCATACTAGGACAAAACAGCTATCCTGTGATTTTTAGTTTGTAATTGTGAACTAATTACGATCATTCTGTGATACCAAATATAAAATTCGACAGTCTTCACTTTCCATTTCATAGTATTAGTAATAATCATGTACTCTTTAATGACTTATTCTGAGCAGTAATTCCTAGAGTCCCAATGAGGGTCTTGTTTTGCATGATTAGGAGTATCATGACTACACATTCTTGAGAAGCCCGATAGCCCCCAAATGCCTTGGTACGGTCGAGGGTGGGGAAAATCAGCCCCCCTTTCGAAATGCTCTCACATGGCCACGTGCATACAACCACTGCCTTCTCGCACCACGGGTGTTGTTTACGAAATTGAGAGGACGAAAAGCGAATGTCCAGCGCTTTAACCGGGTTGGTGGACACGATTCCAGACCAATGCTGTACATGGGCGTATAAATCAATCTTTGGTCACTGGTTACCATGGGATTGCATCTCCTTAAGATGCTCCACTGCCTTGTGAATCAGACCTTTAGGTTGAAGGCTTTCGGTGTAGCCCCCTAAAGGAACCGCCTGCTTCGGTTTGGGCACCCAAACAGTATCCCAGCCCTCACACAAATCGAATGATTTATTTGGTGCCTTCTTGTACCAATGTTTATGTGTTTAAATAAATAAATAAATAAAGCCCTATAACATCATAAAACAGCTGTTCACTGTTTTTGTTTTCAATAATTTGTTTAAAGTGGACGAACCAATCAGATAGATATCAGATAACAAGTTACATACATTTGGCTAAATTTAGTTTTTAACATTATAGCTGATGTCAGTATGTGATTAAAAGCCGTAAATCTAATTTTTTTAACCCCTTAACCATCAATTGTAATGGAGAATTCTAATTGCTTTATAACTCTCTCATTTAATCTTAATCAGGTGGTCACTTCAGTTTCTCTTGAATGTCGTCCATAAAATGATAATCTCACTATTCAAGTCAATCTCTGATGTAACCTATTCAATTACTTATTCTCTTATAATTCTTCATTTAATCCTTCCTTTTTTTTTGTGTTTTCTTCTTATCCATAGTGATAATTATACACTTCAAATTAATCCATTATCTGGTATGGCTAATGAAGAACATTTAAAATATTTTAAATTTATTGGTCGTGTTGTTGGTATGGCTGTATATCATGGTAAATTAGTAGATGGATTTTTTATTAGACCATTTTATAAAATGATGCTTGGTAAAACTATTTCATTAAAAGATATGGAATCAGTTGATTCAGAATATTATCGTAGTTTAAAATATATATTAAAAGAAGATCCTATATCATTAGATTTAACAATGTCTGTTGAAGAAGAACATTTTGGTGAAACAGTTGAAGTGGATTTAATTAAAGATGGTAGAAATATACGTGTTACAAATAATAATAAAACACAATATATAGAGTAAGTTATATTTTTTTTATTGATTGTTATTTTTGATTATTTCCCCCCCCCCTCTCTCCCTTTTTGTTATTCTTGGTGTTGTTGTAGTGGTTGTTGAGATAATAGACTGATGAATAGTTAGATGATCATTGAAAATCTTGAAAGTATTAAATAATCATTTTTTACGGATATGGAATGCACAGACATAATCTCAAATGTAGTGAACAAAACACAGATGGGGACAACCGAATGCATTGAACAGCAAATTACAGAACTAGTTAGCAAAATCCAACAACCATTTATTAAATTCTTAATTTGCAAATTGTTCATCAATTGTCTCAAATGACTCAGAATCCCTTTGTTCTTGCATTTCCCTATAAAGTGCATTCTTTCTTCATTCTTTATTGTTCGATCTTCTCGTCTCTCTGTTGCCAGACATTCTGTTCAGTACTCATGTCATATACTACTTATGTCTACATAACTAGCACACACCACACTCGTCCTCCCTTTAAAAGCCATCGTTCTTGAGGTGGTTCATCCTCGCCGTGCAACATTCTTCCATCTACAGTCTGTGCTACACCCTCCGTCAAAATGTCGAGTCTGCGGCGCGCTGACTTCCATAGCTCCTTCGACCATGCCGGGGGACCAACATCCGACCTCCGCCCGGCACCTGGGACGTCTACCCCCATGCTCCACCGGCCTGCTGAGCCATCTACATCCGATGTCCGCCCAGCAGCCGCACGTCTCACCGCTCCTCTTCGTCGACAGCACCTGCTACAGCCCACGCCGCCCCGCCAGAACACTCCACCAGACGCCACCCCTCCGCACCAGACTGCCCCGACCTGCAACGTTGCCCACAGAACCGCACCCTCCCCGTCTCCTGGTTGGCAGCGACAACAAATGTAGTGAACAGAACACATCATCTCATGAAACATGGGTTCGATTCCCAATTTCGAGGCCATGTATGTACACTGCATATCAGTATGAAATGGCCGTACAATACTTCCAGGCTTTTAATGGTGGTCTAATATTGATCGGTTCATTATTCTATTAAAAAATATTAATAATTATTGTTAATTAATGGTAAGTCATCAATACTTGGGTACTAATCATTCCTTCTTCTCAGTCAGCCAATTGGTCATTATTAAGGTGCAAATGAGTTCTATTGAAAAACGGATAGAACGCGATTGTTAGCACTCAACATTTTAATTATTATGGTCTTACTCATGAATAAGACAGTGTGGAAGAAATACTTGATTTTCAAGCGGAATAAATTGAAATAATACAACTTTATAGTAATTTTAATAGTTGAAGTCTTGAGACCGATAAGACCTGTGTTCGAATCCTGCAAGGCGGGATCATGGTTGGGCACTGTTTAGGAGCTCCATATTAGGACGAAATGGCCGTCCAGTGCTTCCAAGTTTTCCATGGTGGTGTAGTTTTAATTGACTCATAATCTCAACTATTAAATTTATATATATATATATATATATATATATATATATATATATATATATATAACGTAAGTTCATCCAAAGAATTGAATTAGAATAAATCCATTTTCAATTACTATTAGTAAGGTTTGAGCAATTATCGACAAAAATTGCGTAATCCTGTTAATCATCTCAACATAGTCAGTTAGCAACAATGCAGAACTTCGTACGTACGTACATCAGTTCAAGTTGCAATACCACATTAGCACAGAGATGCAGTTGTCGATTCAAATCCCATAGTAGTAGAGGTAGTGAAAGTGTTACGTCCTTGACCTGTCTACCCACTTTTGGTGCTAAGGCTAACTTGTCTAGTCTAGATTAAGACATTGACGCGATAGGCTGACCGGCTTAAACCTTGAAGCTAGTACGCGCGTGTTCGAAGTGGGGTAGAGATGAAAACTATCCTATCACCTGATTGGAAGACAAGTCAACTGAAACACTACTCGATTTATTTTCAATTCAGATCTGGTTCCCAATTTCAGATCAGTGTAAAAAGATACAGGAATAAATAGATGACTAACCCGACCACAACCCACAAAAAATTTGGAAAATACAATTATGTCCAAAACTGGGGATTAGTGAAGAAAATGGAGTACAAAATATTATGTTTAAATTACAATAGCTTTGGAACAAAAAGGGCTATGGCAGTGAATCATATATCAAACGAACGCTCATATTCTGTAGAATAGACTAAAGTCAAAAATAAATGTTAATGTTTTACAAGTTTTGAATGAATTGAAATAACGTCCCGAAAAATAGCTTCCGTAGTTTGTCAAGGCTTCTTGTTTCCCTGTTCACATCAGAAAGTATAACCAGTAATCGGAATGATTAGGGTATGAAGACGTTATGCAAGAAGTATTATCCAGTGAAATAAATTTGGAAACGGAGAAAAAAAGGATATGAAAAATTCAGAAGATTAGAACTTGAGAGAACATAAACAGTGGATGCACCTGCGCCATTGCACTTGATTTTAAGCCATGTCATTCAAGGTCTCGAACCATCGGTTGTTATCATTTCGCGGATCCCAACTAGGTAGGTAGTCTACACCTATAAACATGGTTCAGTTCACTTGTCAGTGACTTCATGGATTTGTGTCATGTTTTCGTCTGGCCGCCACTAGCCTTATCTCCTACACTATAAAACATCGCACGTCTGGGCAGTCGGTGGTTGGGTATACGTAACACATGTCTTAGCCATCTCAACTGATGAAGTTTCATCAGCATATTCAATATTCATGTACTCATTCTACGAAATTTCTTTTTGTTTATTTACTATTTTCTAGACGAATAATAAATTGGCGATTTGTTTCACGTGTTGAAAAACAAATGTGTGCATTTTTAGAAGGTTTTAGTGATTTAATTCCATTAGAAGCATTACAGATATTTGATGCAAATGAATTAGAATTATTAATGTGTGGATTACAAGATATTAGTGTAACAGATTGGAAAGCGAACACTTTATATAAGGGTGAATATCATGCTAATCATCCAGTCATTGTAAATTTATGGAAGGTAATAATAATAATAATAATAACTGTTTATGTAATCATCCTCATCATCAGTAGTTGTTGTTGTTGTGTTGGTGGTGTTGCTTTGTATTTTTATTATTCTCAATCATCTCGATAGTTTAAATCATGAATCGATCTTAGCTAGATCATCATTACTTGACAGCCACTTCTTTCTAGTATGTGACTCCTCGACAGTGTACATCCATGATCCCATCTTTGGGAACAGAACCTAGAACCTTTGAATTTAGGAGTCTGGAAGTTAAATGGTCCAGTGTGAAACCAAAATTTCTGAGTTAGACGCTAACTGTCGTGGAGTTCCATATTAAGACGAAACATTTCCCCAATACTTTTAAGTATTTTACTGTAATGTTTTGAAATATGCAATTCTACAGTCTCCACAAATTTCCCCCATAATTATTTTCAATTAATCGTATGTGGATTTAGACTTGTTTTCTTTTATACAAAATGTTGCATCACACACATTAGATACATTTTGTGTATTCGAATTGTTGGACATTGATTTTATTATTATTATTAGAACACATAGATATTGGTACAAGTAGGCACCAAATAGATATCCGCCACACAAATCTCATTTGATTTGTGTGAGGGCTGTGATACTGAGCGGGTGTCCAAACCGAACCAGGTGGGTTTTTTTAGGGGACCACACCCCGAGTCTTTGACCTAAAAGTCTGACCCACAAGTCAGTGGAAAATCGTAAGGAGATGCAGTCCCATTGTAGCCGGTGACCAACAATTTGTTCATGCAGGATACTGGAGCCCATGTGCACCATTGGTTTGGGATCCGGTTAAAGCGCCGGACAACCGCTTCTCATCCTCTCAATTTCGTAAACAACACACCCGTAGTGCGAGAAGGCAGTGAGTAGGACTTCCTTGTCAGAGGCTATATACGCGTGGCCATGTGAGAACATTTCGAGAGGGTGAGCGAACTCTCCCTACTCTCGGCCGTACCAAAGCATTTGAGGGCTAGACACTAATTATTTGCTAGTTTCTTGACCTTACCTCTACTCTCAAACCTCGAATAAAAAAACAAAAGTAGGAAAAATGATAGGGATCTTTACTTCCAGGGTTAGTTTATGTACAAAGAAAAAGAGTATTTATGGTACCTTTAGCTTTCGGAAGTTTCTGGAAAGCATTTCATATCACACAATAACTGTAACATGATGACTATTGGATAACCTGAAAACACTGAGTAGCCATTTCGTCTTAATACGGAAACCTTTGTAGGGGGACCCATGACACATCCTTGAGGACTAAACCCAAAAACGTTTAAATGTTTCAGTGATGACTTAAAATTTGAACCATCCAGTGGTTTGTTTCTAACTTTGTCAGTTTGCGATATCGCTTGACTGTCATGTAGTATTTTTGATAGGGTAACCACCTTACTCCAGACATGGTTGAATAGTTTTTGACTCCTCATCATTAGTTAGTAAACCGATCTAAAATTCACTTGATTTTCTTGACAATTATATACCTTTTCTCTTACACCTACTTTTCTTATTTCAAAGGCTATATACACATTTACAAATGAATTAAGAAGTCGTCTACTACAATTCGTCACTGGGACATCACGTGTACCTATGAATGGTTTTTCAGAATTATGGGGTTCAAGTGGACCACAGAAATTCACTGTTGAATGTTGGGGTTCTGTAGATCAGCTACCTCGTGCTCATACTTGGTACGTGTGTTTTTTTAAAGGGAAAATATTGTTTGATTTCCTAGCTATATGGATATTTTATCAGTCAGTCAGCTACAACATAGGGACTAGGTACATATATGCGTCTGTCCAAGTTGCCATACCTCATTAGCACAACAAAATGAATACCGAATTCATAGTAGTTACTTCAATGATTGTAATATATAAAAGAAAGATTGTTTATAGTGATATAATACAGGGGAAAAGAATTAGTTAGTGAAAAGAAAGAAAGATACAAACCGATTTTAATCTCATAGTTTAAGGGAAGATAGAAAGTGTGTATACATACGCCATTGTGATCGATTCTGAGTCACGTCACTCAGAGTCTCCAACCATTGGTTACGATAGTCTGCATCTATCAACATGGCTCAGACTAGAAGTTAGTGACTTCAAGGACTGATTCCACATTGTGGTTTTGCCGTCCCTAACTTTTTTCCAACCGTCTTCTTCACTAATCACCATTGCGCGTCATGGTATTCGGTGTTCAGGCATATGTAACACGTAGCCCAACCATCTCAGTCGATGAAGATTTACAACCTCACCAACTGATTATTTTATGGCACCCCACTGTTGACTCATAATTTTCTGAGTTATATAAGTTGTAGTTTAACGTAAGACAATAACAAAAACATCACATTTGATTTCTTACATCTCACACTGACACAATGACAGAGGTTATTAACAAGGTGACTAGCAGAGCAGAAGAAACTCACAATGTCTTTTACGCTGGAACGTTAAGCATAACAAATACATAGGTTTTAAAATAGCAAATGAGGTTAATGAATAAGAAGTATAAAATACCACTAAACTTAAATTTCAAAGGAAAGTTGAAGTAATGATACGAATTCACTATTGTTATTATTTTCAAGTTATGTCATTCAAAGTCTCTAATAATAGATTTTGAGTGTAATCTCACAGTTCCTTTTCTTTTCTAAAAGTCCGACCGTTGCTGCTACCTTGACGTGGCGGTTAGACCTGCCTATCGTGGTAAACCAATCAGGCTATACTGGCTAGAACAATCGTTTCTCAAGGTCCGACCATACCAGGGAGGTTGGTTAAAGAGCGGTAAATTAAAACCAGCAAACCGAAAGTCCAAGGGCCAAGTCGTACTGCTGACTGTACAGATGTTTTACGGTAGTAAGATGTTTCCTTCCGATAATCAACATGACAGCGATGCTGACTTTCTACAGAGCAAGAAAGGGGGTAGGAAAGGTCAGCAGTAAAATGCGCGTTTCGCGTTGTCCCATGGACTTCTGTTTCTGTCGGTAAGGTCTCAACAAGTACGGAGCCAACACAAAACTGTCGTGTGTGACTGACCTTAAGCAGTCTTCCCTTGGTCACTGCAGTCACTAACATAAACTCTAAACCTATTTTTTCAGACATCTAGAAGAGCCCTTCCACGGTGTATATGACCGGAAAGTGATAACAACCCGCATACCTCTAACAACACTCAAGATTGACTTTTTTAAAAGATCTCCTTTGTATAGTAGCAGTCAATGTGGTGATGCAATGTTTTCATTTCGGTTCCCCATAGCTTTCTCATATCTTCAGTAGAACTATGACTAATCTTGATGCATATGGCTCAAAGATAACAGATATTGTCGTTCTAAAGGGAAACTTCAACATGTACGAAAATAGATCAATAAACTAACAATACCAATTACAAGAAGAGATATTATCTGACATTGATCATGTGAATGACACATTGGTATCAGGCATTGACTCCGCTAATCATATATCTCCAAAGAATGATTTCATTTTTTTGTGAACGTTCGTACTTTGTTCAATATATCGGTTATAGAGCCTGGTAGTGTGTTGACCCAGGCTATTAGATCATATTAGAATGAGATAGAATTAACGAGATGTATAGTGAAGTAATCAAATTAATGTAGCAACAATAATAATATAAAATATTGAACACAGAATATGATTCCATATGATAGAATGAAATGGTATCTATGAGGGAGTTTTGGAACCCTTTCTTTAGGGGATATAATAGAGAATGAATGCTGCATTTAAACCATTGTGACCAATTCGGAACCATCCCGTTGAACATCTTTGACCACTGACTGGTTATCGAATAGACGTCAACTAATTAGTCTCCATATACCAACATGGCTCAAACTAGAAGTTAATATTTTTATGAACAGATGCTGCGTTTGGGTTTGGTGTCTCCCTTAGCTCCCTTCTAACTTATATATCAATCAACATTGCATGTCAAGGTTGAAGGGGAATCAGGTTAGATAATACATACCTTAATAGTTTCACTGAACGATTCGTCATCTCTGCTTATAGTACTTTATTGTTAACCTTATCAATTCTCACTTGTTGTTTCTAACCACAGCCACATTGATTTATCCGTGTAGCGATTTGACTGCTTCACTTTACAAACAATAGATTATATATTCCAGTTTCATTATATTGACTTTTAATTGATAACAATCAGATAATATCACTCAGTGTATCCTTTACACAAACAGTATAAGCGTTCGTTATGTGTTTGAATTTGTTAATGATCGGCACATTTGTTTAACTCTGTTGTGTATGTATGCATGTATGTGTGTGTGTATGTTGTCTCATCTCTTATTCCCTCTTTTTCTTCCTATTTTGTTCACAGTTTTAATCGTTTAGACTTACCCGCCTATCCAACATTTGAAGAATTACGTTGTAAATTAATTATTGCTATTGAAAATGCTGAAGGATTTGAAGGTGTCGATTGAATGCATATTCTTATCTTTTTTTTTTACAAATATTATTATTATTATTATTATTATTATTATTATTATTATTATTAATAAACTTTATTTCTTTTGATGATTGTAAATTCTACATAACATAATGCACATAATAAATCATGTAGCATTTCTAATTTGAATGATGTTATAATTCACAAACTTTTGAGTAACTACGTTACCATATATTTAGATATCTTTTGTTTTTTTTTGGGGGGGGTGAGGAATAACTACCACTTGGACATCGACATATACGTATATGTGTATGTATGTGTTTATGCCCCCTCCCCTCTTCAAGTCAAATAAAATAGTCACTATTCAACAAACAAGTGAATAAGACCAAATATTCAAATCTTCTAAATATCATTGTTTCTATATGAACAAAAATTATGTAATATAAGTAATTTTACATTTTATTTCAATGAGTTTATTGTATTTTAACTAATAGTTCTTTATTGTATATGTGTGTATGTGTATGTTTACACTTACTTACATCTGTTACTCATTGTGGAGGAGCATAGACCACACACACACACACACACATCAACGTTCTCTGTTGAACTCTATTCTGCATAAACTTATGTAAAATTATTCCTTAATCTTTTCGTTGTTTTTTTCTTTTATAAAACCGATTGACCCTGTGTTGTTGTTGTTGGTGGTGGTGGTGCTGGGGGTGGTTCATGTTATCATTGTATATTTCAATCGTCCTCTTGCTATATATATATATATATTTTTTTCTAGTTATTACATCACTTTTAAATTCATAGTTCAACTTCCACGATGCGCTTTAATCATTTATTCTCTATATTGTTCTCTTCATGCTTCAACAGAGTTAAGGGATGAAGGGATATTAGGTGATTATGTAAAATAATAATCAATGTATATTGTTGGGTTTGTTTGTTTGTTTTTTCTCGCTGTGAAGATCAAATAATCAATATTGCACTATAGTTGTGTGTTGTTGTTTTTTCTAACATTTATCTCGCTTTCCCTCTTGTTTACTGTCTCATTTGGTCCCCCTCCCTCCTCCAACGTAACATACTAATCATTTTTTCTTAAAATCTTCATTATTTACATTGTTTTGACTGAAGCAGATAAGATCATCTCTCTCTCTCTCTTATACATACATACATACACACACATCGGTAATTCAGATAAACATTAGTAGTATATGAATACTGAACTAATGAATTGTTCATTTTTGATTTGAGGCCACTAATTCCTTTTTATACATGTATACATTCATGTATATCACGAAGAGTATTATTATTACTATTACTCTTAATATTGTAATTACTATCCCTTATTAATCATCCTCCTGTCACCCTACTAACCTTATGAACATAAGTAATTCAATTTGATTTGTTGAATAAACCGTATAATCACAATTCACTTTGTTTTTAATTTCTATGTTGTCGTTGTTGTTTAAGTTCTACTCTATTAGTTCTTTGTCGTTACTGTTGTTGTTGTTGTTTGGAATAAACATAGAAATAGAAAAACAGAACAAAAAAGAGAGAGAAAGAACTCCGGTTTCTTTTCTTTTAGAATTTATTTCACACTTCTTTTCAAAACAAATTAATAATGGATTGAATATCTGATGGATAACTTTTGAACAAAACTAAAATCACCTTAACAATGATTATCTAATTGAGATCATGGACTGATTGATGTTAGACTTCGTGGATTGGTTGAGGTTAGACATTAACACCATCGGATGCCGGCTGGCTCAGTGGCCCAGTAGGTTAAGCGTTCACGTGCGGGACTGAAGGTCCCGGGTTCGAATCCCGCGAGCGGGATCGTGGATACTCACTGCTGAGGAGTTCCACAATAGGACGAAACGGCTGTCCAGTGCTTCCAGGTTTCCAACGGTGGTCTAACATCAATCAGTTCATGATCTCAATCAAAAACGTAATAATATCCACAACCCCTAAACTGATGATTATCTAATTATTAGGGTTATAAATTTAAAATCTGTTATCTTAGATCTGATCGGTTTGTTTATAAATTTATAATCTCGTCGACCATTTGTGAACAACTGAAAAACAAATAGGGTAAATTGATACAAAAACACATGTTATTCGATAGTGATTGATTATAATGCCTTCAAATGCCCTGGTACAACCGAGAGTGACGAGTGTCATCTCTTTCTCTCGAAATGTTCTCACATGACCATGTGCATACAACCACTGCTAGGGAACTCCTACTCACTACCTTCTCAAGGCGGGGGGTTATTTACGAAATTGACAGGATGAAAAGCGAATGTCCGGTGCTTTAACCGGGTTGGTGGAGACAGAGGATCCACCTAGAGGAGTTGGAAAACCCTGATTCCAAACCAATGGTGCACATGGACTTTAGTATCCTGAAGGAACAAATGGCGTATGAACTTACTGTTGGTCACAGACTACCATTAGACTGCATCTCCTTAAGTTGCTCCAATGCTATGTGGATTAGACCTTTAGGTTTAAGGCTCTCTGTGTGACCCCCTAAGAAAACCACTTGCTACGGTTTGGGCACCCGGGTAGTATCCTAGACCTCACACAAATCGAATGATTTATGTGGCGCATATCTATTTGGTGCCTTCTTGTACCTATGTTTATGTGTTTAAATAAATTAACTGATTATAATAACACTGGTTGAAATCATGAGTCAATTGAAGCTAGACCACCACGGAAAACCTGGAAAGCCGTTTCGTCCTAGTGCTTCCAGGTTTTCCGTGGTGGTCTAGCTTCAATTGACTCATGATTTCAACTAGTGAAATTTCTAAAATCTCCACAAAACCCCCTTCTGATTATAATAACACTTCAACGAAATATGATCTTGTTTATTTCTTTTTATGTTCTTGGTGGTTGTTGGTTTGTTTTAGTTACTTTTTCCGTTTAATGTTTATTCTCACTGTTTTATTTTATGTTTGCATTCTATAAAGTAACCATTTTTGATAGAGTTTTGTTCTCTGATGATGTCGTACAGAAGAACGATGAAAGCTCCATGACCATATCATCCAGCTCAAAGAACAAAACTCCATGAAAATCATTCACTTTAGCGACAAATCTTCACCATCTCATAAATTAACCATGAAAAAAAGAAACTAACAGTAATGAAGGGAAACACTGAATACTGTTATGAATCAGTATATTGAATGTTCAACATTGAAGTGATTTTTTTTGTAATATACAGTATATATGTGAAGAAGATTTATAGCTCAGTTGGATAATTTTGATGAAGTTTTTTTCTCTGAACTTGATGGTTTGGTCGCGGAGCTTTCATGGTTCTTCTGAAAGATATCATCAGCACAAATTTCAGGTAGAAGTACTATGTTTGAATTTGTTCACAGCTTGTCTTGTGGATCTTGACCAAACCATACAACTCAGAGAACATCACTCGATCAAAAATAGTATATATGTGTTTGTAGTTTAATGATTAGGTGTTCAACTATAATGTTATACTGTAGTGATTTGTATACTCAACTTAAATCCATTCTTTATGAGTGTATACGAAGTGTTGATAAAATAATGATTACACAAATCGAAATGAACTCAGAAAGCTGTCTTGAATTTGTCAACTTATAATGTAGGCGAAATGTCTTTCCGCTAAACAAAAAATTAGTATACCGTACAGTAGTTGATTTTGCTCTTCTTTATAACTAGAAAACATGATGTTTAGAAATAGATGGTATTCGTCAATTGCACGTTCTTGATAGTTAGTGAGTAATACTAAAGTAAACGTAGGATACTGAGTAATTATGGTAAATCAATTGACGAAGTAGTGAATGTTTATTAATTGAGGTATTTGAGACATGTTTCACATATGCCTAAGCACTACCTACCTACCTATCTACCTTAGAAGAAGTGAAAAGAAAATATCCCATGAAGTCATCAACTATTGAATGAAATCATGTTTATATGTACAGTCTACTGGTTTAGGTGATTGGACTAACTCATGACAGGAGACATTAAGCTCAGAATTAATCCCAATCACTTACTTACTTACTTACGCCTGTTACTCCTCGTGAAGGAGCATAGGCCGCTCACCAGCATTCTCCATCCAACCCTGTCCTGGGCAATCCTTTCAAGCTCTTTCCAGTTCTTATTCATCTTTTTCATATCTGCTTCTATTTCCCGACGTAATGTGTTCTTTGGCCTTCCTCTTTTCCGCTTCCCTTCAGGATTCCAAGTTAGCGCTTGTCTCGTAATGCAGTTTGACTTCAACGCTTCAGCTGGTATATTGTCAGGTCCTGCTGCTTTCCCGCTCTTGATTTATCTGACGGCCATTCTGATTTCTTCTGTCGTTGGTGGATTGACATTTATAGGAAGATCTGTGTGTGCTGCTTCGATGTCCGGTGGATTCATTGGAGCCGGTCTGTTCAGGAGTTCCTCGAAGTACTCTGCCCATCTGTTGCGCTGTTGTTGAATCTCAGTGATTGGTCTTCCTTCTTTGTCTTTGACTGGTCTCTCTGGTTTACTGTATTTCCCTGCTAGCTTCTTCGTCGTATCGTAAAGCTGTCTCATATTTCCTTCTCTTGCAGCTTTTTCCGCCGTCGTTGCTAGTTCTTCCACGTATTTTTGCTTATCAGCTCTAATGCTCTTCTTCACTTTCTTGTTTGCTTCTATGTACTCTGCTTGTGCTTGGACTTTCTCTGCTCTTGTTCGACTGTTGTTAATTGCTGTCTTCTTGTTCTTTCTTTCTTTGATCCTGTCCAGTGTTTCTGTAGAGATCCATTCCTTGTGATGATGTTTCTTGGGGCCCAGAACCTCTTGACACGTTGAAGTTAATGTTTCTTTGATACCTTTCCAGCTATCCTCCATAGTAGTTTCTTCTTCCTTCAGTAGATCCTGTAAGGCTTGGAACCTGTTGTTGAGAGCTACCTTGAATTCATTGATTTTGTCAGTATCTCGAAGGAAGGCTGTATTGAACCTTTGTGGTGTTGTTTGTCCAGTTTTCCAGTTCTTCTTTAGCTTCAGTTACAATTTGGCTACAACCAGGTGGTGATCTGA